ATGGACGAACCAATCAGATTTGGTATACCTCCTATTAAAAGAACAACTGAAAATTCAGAGAAAAGCTTGTTTCAAGAAGGATATCCATAGCGAAGTTAATTTTAACAAGTGATCAGATTAGAATAATCCGTCTCAGTGACACCACGTCTTTCAAACCAATTGTAAACTACTAAAAGCTAAATTGAAGTTGGACTGATGAATAATTGCGTTGCTGAGCAATGACCAGATTAAACAACAAATAATATGCCGCAATATTCAATACTCTATTAGTAACCTTTTAAAGTAAAAGAATTTAATATAATAACAATTATCATTACCAGACATCTAGTTGTGTCTTCTTTCGCTTAATATTTTCAATAAATCAGGGGCTCACAAGAACAATAGTCTGGAAATCTATCGCAGTTACATGAAGGCAGTATGCAGCTGTGTAAATAGCGAATCAGATGCCGACGTTAAACGGGCCTCAGTTCTTCACTATCTTCGGTAGCTGGCATACATGATGTAAAGTCCAGTAAATTTATATTCGAATCCAGGGAAAATTCTCTGTGCTCTCAGTTTCAGTTTGGAAAGGACAATAAGGCCAGTAGTAACTTGTACTGGGCTCGTAAAAATTTTCAAAGTGTCTTCGTGAAGTTCCTCTTTTTGAATGCAAAATAAACGCAGGTATATCTGATGCCAATCAAGCGTTAATTAATTTAAAATCTGTGGTCAAATCACCTCTGATCCTCCTATATAGCATCGTAAATAGGTCTAGCTTAATCAGTCCATTGTCATACGGGAACTATGCTATTTCAGAAACCATCTTAGTTCATGACCTTTGAATCTCTTCCAACAACTAAGCATTCTTCTAGCCAGTGACTAGCTGCTTGTATGCAAAACTCAAGTTCAGGATGAAGGCTCTACATATCGACCTGCATGTCGATAGAAAAACTTGGGTTGCTATCACATGGCAGTGCAGATTAGACTCGAGGTCTTGGCTAACGACGACTCCTAAGTTACTAGACATCCGGAAATTAGAAAGCTCAATATTGCTCACCTTATATGTATCTGTGCCTTCATCACCAGTATGAGTTAAAATGCAGTTGGAAGCATTGGTCGGCAAATGCCGCATCCCCGACCATTTAAATAAATTCCCCGTATCATTTCGGAGCTATAAACTGTCACTTTGCATCTTGAAATGACCAACATATGATAAAACTGATAACTTTAGGAGACCAGAAAGATCATTTACATACGGTAGGACAAAAACAGGATCCAAAACTGTCCCCAGAGGCGCTCTGCTAAACACAGATTTCCAGTTCACCCGTACTCTTTATTGACGCACAACCAGGAAGTCCTTTATCAAAATAAATACGTTGTCTCCAATTCTTATATCACTAAATTCAAAAAACAGCCAATTATGTGAAACTTTGTCAAAGATTTACTGAAGTCAGTGAAGTCCACATCAATAGGTTGTAGTGACCTACTTTTATGAAGAGAACGCGATCGGTATAATGGAAACAATTATTATTATAACCAAATGTACCAGTGATTGTTTAACCGTACTTGTTTGAGTGTACCAAAAAACACTCTCTTCCGTTGTTCATGGCCTCTTTTTTTGGAAGGAATCTGGTGTTCGTCTAAATACTTATACAACTCCTCTCTTACGATCTCCACTAACATTTGAACAGCCATCCTGGTTGGGTTTGTGGTTCGATTGCTCTCAGGTTTGTGTCTCGTATCTGTTTGTAAAACGTTCCTCCTTTCTCGATTACACGAAATATTTTTTAAAGAGCCGTACTGAGCGCAATACATATAACTCTGTGTGGGGTACTCGACACAACCAGATCCAACTAAATCAGACCTGTGTGTTTTGAATGATCAGAATCCAACTTGAACCACCATAAACAATAAGTCATATATTGAATCTTCTTTGATAAATGATGTCCGTCTCAAAAAGCGAGTGCATTTTTATTCTAATGGAAAGATTAGTTTAACTCATTCATGATGGGACGAAATTTTCAATAATAATAGGTTTTTCCATAGAACAGAAAACGTTATACTTCATAAGTGGAGCAAATTAAATTGGGCAATTACGACAAGAATGATCAAAAAGCGACAAGCTAATGCAAGAGCCAGAAGGACATAATAGTACGTAGAGAAAAACTAAGGATCAGTAAAAAATATACAAATATGATGAAATACTGAGAAACAAAGACGAATGTCAACAATTTCCCCTGGTAACAGAAAAATAAACATGATACATTAGAACGAAACGAGTCAGAGTGGCACTTACGAAGAAACACATTTAAGAATAAACAAATAATTACTGTCATAAACGATGTATACGCGGGAGAGTGTTTTACCAACACTCACATATATCAAACGTCTTGATCATCAGATATTTTCGTACGGTTTCTTTTGTGGTATAGAACATGACTTTGTAGATCATGATTCATTATTTCGACCCTTCTCTGTGAGCTTTGATGGACGCAACAGGTTCCAAAATTATGAACCAAGGTGCTATTCTATAAACGAAAGCGAAAAGTCGAAAAATGTCGAACGTGACCAGCTGAAAGTTGTGTTTGAAAAGCGATCTTTTCTCTATTAACGACACAGTCCTCTGAATCACAGCGAAATCACAATTAATCACAGACCGTGGGAAGAGTAGCTAATAACTGCTGACGGTTCTGTTCTGTTATGTTCTGACAGAATTATATGAGCGCTAGAATAGTCAGGGAACTACTGTAAGTTATCAATTTTTGCTCATTTCTCCAGTTTCGGTTGTTTTCTGCGTTCTGTAGCACCTTGGGTGCATCGTTTATTTTTGTTCTATTCAAAGTAATTCAATTTTATTATATACTCCTATATTTCAATTTCTCGGAGAGAACGAAAAACGCAAACGCCTGTGTGTAAAGTGTTTTCTGTCTCATAGTTTATATGCCCACCTTTATGTGCAATTTTTCTTATATTGTCAAACATGTTTCATGAGCATAACTGCATATAACAGTGACATTTTTTCTTCATTTTCCATGTAGTAGCTTTGCTTAGTTAATCAATCACCTCGATAACCGTTACAATATAAATAACGTGGGATTTCGAAATCAGAAGAAAATGAAAAGCGCAATCTACAGTTTATTAGTGGACAGCGCAGATAACAAAGCTTTAAGCACATCAAGCGAATTTAGAGCAAAGTAGTGAACATGTGTGTGCTAACAAATACAGAAACAAATTTGTAGTTAAATCGCATAAGGGCACAGCAAGGCAGAGGAAAAACTAATGATAGGATTTGAGTAAAAATATATATGTGGAGGAGGATGAATCACTGAGTGATATTTAAACAATCACCATTTAAGCTAGTTTGTTCTGTAATCTAGTGATCATAACAGTTCGAAGAAACAGACGATTTGTTGCCATACAAGTGACACTGTTTGTCAAGTAAGATAATAAAAGGGTTCAAACAAAATTAACCATAATGGAAATTGGTTGTAGATGGTTGACATTTCCATACTAATCGGTAAAGAATAACAAAATGAAAATCCCGGTCATCCTCTTGTGGTTTATAGTTTTTAATCTTTACACAATCTATTACTTTGGGCACAGACAGCTAAAAGTCGCTAGACGTAGCAAATTATCGAAAAAGTGTTTACCGACAACAAGCACGAGTTTAAAATTCCAGCTGATCGCGTTTTCGGGTCTGCATAGTTACAGTAACATGAAAGTGAGCTGTAGCTGAAAACAGTCCTTCCAATTAAATCGTTCTATAAATATTCCAGAATAACCATTGCAAGTTCACTCACTAATTCACTAGCTGATGGCTTTCGGACAAATTACGTCCAGGTAAACTGTATGACACACCACCAAAGATTATCAGCTCAGTTATTACGCAGCAATTTATCAACCGATAATTCAAGTGAATTTTCTTATTCCACCATTCTCGACCTCTGGTTTTGTTAGTTTTAAGGTTATTTCATCCGAATAGGATAGGGAAGAAGTATTATCAAATACCGTACATCCTATAACTCTTTGACGATTTAATACTTTGGTGTGTGACGATAATTTATATACCTTCCACTTGTATATATCACTGGGGTTACCGCCATCTGAGGTATTATGAGGACATAAGAGGAGTGATAGCTTACTTGATAATGACACAACATATTCAATAATCCAAATGACTTCAACAGGAACATCACACCAAAGTATCACCACCGTGATTCGTCCGGTAACTTCTCAAAAACTTCACACAAAGGTTAAACCTTGATCGGTATCCTTGTTCTTCTTGGTGATATTTCTGCACATTTGGGGTGACTCCCCAGTTTAATAATTCCCAGCCCACTGAGTGGATAGTTTCAAGAAGAGACCTGTTAAAGATGTAGTCACGCATGGATTGCCATCTCCCGTTTTGACAAGGTATCAGATGCCTGTCGGTATCACCACTACACATTATCACATTCTCCCTATCTCATTCACTATCATATACGTTTACTTGTTGCACTGATAATTCCATCTGAACACTTGCTTGAATGATTTATTTATTGATTGATTCGCTTCTGCTAACAAAAATATATTAGTCCACTCGAATTGAAATTGTTTCTCAAATTGTAGCTAACCTATCTCCTACCTGGTAATGCCATGAATTTTGGTTCTACGAACCCTACTACCCTGAGACAAACGCACTCCGAATACGAAATCGAAAAACCCACAAACAACTTTCGAAAAGACTGAAAATATTGAAGCTCATGGTCAGAATACCCCGAATTAAAGATCACTATATACCCAGAACTATACTGAGACAACAAGAAGTGGCCGATAAGCAATCCTTCTCTTTAAACTATTTAAAATCATTCCTTTACGTTTATAATAACTTAAACTCTCATTTCTTCCTATCTGAAGACATTTGTGGTCTCCTATACGTATAAAAGTTATAAAAATTAATTATATTGGTTAAGTGCCCCGCGTTTTCTTGTAATTTATACTCATTTTTAATATTGTTTTAATCTGTCACTTTGTTGAAATTTATTATGATCCCGTAAACGTGGGTAAATGATTCACAGTATCTAAGATATGGGTTGATGAGTTGAAGTACTCGTAACATGATGGAAGGTCATCACAAAGTTCCTTTGTTTTGGACATGTTTCACGTTTACTACATTCGGTTTCACATGTAGTTTTGTCTCAATGGTTATGCCTTACTGGTATGCCAGATATCCTCAGTCTCAAAATCGTTTTGTAAGACTGGGGCTCTGGGAGGTGTGTTTTGAAGGCTATATGGCGAAGAAAACTGGAAATTATATGTATTTTGGATGTTTCTATTTATTTGATACGAAAATTTTGACTCTGTGGCCGATCATATTCAGAGGTATGAGGCTGATTTATAATTAAATTTGCCACTTTAAAGATTGGTTTATTGCCTGTCAAGCTTTTTTTACATGCAGTTTTGCAACCCATATATTGGCAGAATGTGTTATTTTGACTCAAGTTCTCGGCTTGGTCTCCATTTTTGGGTCACGTGCAGTCTTGTGTATAATGGTGACTCTATCAGTTAACTGTAAGTTTGAATTACTTTTTCATTTGTTCGAAAGTCAATTCTGAGTATTCCTGATACGTGTTTAGTTCCCCATTGGATTATGGATTCAGTTTTATGTGCCAAACCTATGACTGTTGATTTTTCAATAATCGCTATGACTTGATTGCTATTTCATTTGACCGCTATATTGTACTAGCGTCAGCATTTTACTGTATATTAATGAAAAGTAATACAGTAACACATCTCCAGAAATAGTACTAGATAATCTTCAGTGAGTGTTTTAATATCGTGCTGTACAAGTACTTCAAAAATAACGCGTAGCAAAAACAAAACACGTATGGTTCAGATTTATTTGACTCTCGAAGTAAGTCAGCATAATGTAGAAATATACAACTTTTAACACGGCTTAATTACGACCAGATTTGTGTTAATTAAACTGAGTATTGCTTATTTACCTCTGTCACCCCATGTGGAAAAGCATTGGCCACGGACCAGGCTCTCTTTTCTAACTGTTTCCAGTTGCTATTCATTCTTTTGATATCCGCTTGCAATTCCCGGCGCATTGTGTTCTTGTTTCCTTCCTTTCCTTTCGCCTTCAATACTCCGAATTGTGGCTTGTCTTTTGGTGTAGTCTGATGATTTTCGCAATGTATGTCCTAAAGAATCCCATAGGCATTCGGAGTTTGAGAACGTCTGTACATGTAACACCTTTATGATAGAGGTAAATCAACCCAGTCAAATCAGAAGTCAGAAATGGAAGGGTTAGAAGATATATTTAGAAAGCTATCAGTATGCCGAAAAGCGTTTGGTCTAAGCTGGCCAGTAGTTCAGAAGGATGTGTAGCGTGGCATACTCGTGATCTAGTGCAGATACGCAACCGAGAGCATTCAACTAGGGTGTTTCTAGTACAACTAGTGAGGTCAGCATCAATGTCAATACTTACAGAGTTATTTATTTTGAGGATTTATTTACCACTACAGCCCTATCTACCTCCTGCACCTTTTCCTAATTTTTTTTTCAGCTCGAAGTTTATTTGTTCTATCCCACAGTAGGTTGTTGCTAATAGTATCCGGTCAATGAACATTGAGTATCATGAGTTGACAATGGTTTATAATTACCTGTACATTCTTGATGATCATTGTAGTAGTTCTTCAAGTTTCAACCCCATACAATAAAACTGAGTATCATTTAACATACATTTTTCAATAACTTACGATATGAATACACACTTAACATATGATACAATTAAGCATGTAAAACTAAAAGATATAACTAATTAACTGGGTCATACAATAACTCCTGCTCATAATATGACTTCATGTAACAGCCGATCAATTTCATAATGGTTGTACTTCAATTCACTAAGTTACTGCTTGATATATTATATCCTACAATGTTTGTCCATTTCTTTTCAGGTTTTTCAACTTTAGTTAGTTTGATCATAATGGGTGTAGGAGTAGACACTGAACAGAAAATTGAAAGGGCTGCAAAACATCCTTGGTTAGAAGATCTTGATCAGAACTCATTGTCTTGGTCATATGGTATTGCTGCAATATCCCTATTACCAAGCTGCCTTACAGTTATAATTTTAGGATGGTTTGTTTACCCTAAAAAGTAAGATTTTAAACGTTGAAACAATTTATTTTTTGTCATATCAATTATTTATTGTCTATAAACTTTGAGAAGTACTATGTTGGTATAAGCCACTTCAATTTCAATCACTGAATTTCAATTTTGGATTTCACTACACGTGCTTCGGATTTTGTTAACTGACTAGCATTACTACTCTTTACACAAAGTGTACAACTTAAAGCCATGTGTCCGAATTTGTACCTGTTCAGTGACTGATACAACGTTCAAAACTTTAGCTTGTTGAACGGTGTTGGAGCTTCAAAACTAATATTGTCCAATCATTTAAAACACCTGATCACGTTTGATTTTACATTAAGACGGAATGAAAACAAATTATTCTGTGATATAAAAAGCCCATTCTATTGGCCAGTTGTCTTGTGTTGTAATAACAATGCAACTGATTAGTTACGTCAGTAAACTGGTCTTATTATCAGCTGTCACTCACTTACATCATATTATTGAGTATTATTGGTAAGTTAGTATTATATTCACTTACTTAACAATCCAAAACCTTGTTTACCAAATCTTCAATCTCTCAGTCAGTCCGCCATAAATAGCATATAATCTGACGCACGTAAACGTTAAACCCAGTTGCCTTAGTATATCAGAACGAGGAAGGGAAGTTGGCAAGATTAATAACAAGAGAATTGAAATAATATAATGGCGATGTTAATGAGAGAGATTAAACATTGGTTAAATAGTACTTAGTTGGATTCATTTATTTTTTATCAAATTTTGACAAGAAACTCTCATTTACATAGTAGGGACTTTAAGTACAATATTTAGTAAAGGGATACTGAATTATTGTGTGATATCAGTTTTTCATATCTTTATCAATAATTCCTACCTTGTGATCTTTACATGATATATTCTGTGTATCATGCTATCCGTATAGTCAATGTGTATCCATATTAAACTCATATATATTTCTACTGTCACTGGAAAGTCTTTGAAGTAAACTGTTAGTGATTTTCAGGACTAAATTTCGATCACTACGTCTTGGCATATATGGATCTTATGAGAGTTATCTGGAATTTATCATTTCATCGCAATGAACCTGTTTGCATTCGGTTGACGAATGCTAAATGGAAAGAGATGTATGTTATAAATTCCACTGCTAGTCACGGCTTAACTACCCTAAGAAAAAGTCACATGTAATCAGCTTTTCTATTAGTTATGGTATACCTCCTAACTGACATAAAAATGAAAAAGATACTCAGCAGTCATTTAGTATAGTTATATTTACTCTCTTTAGAAATCTTAAAACTATGTGTTGTTAATACGCTTGACTTTAAAGAACAAAATGGTTGTGTTATTTATAAAACAGTCGAATAACAGTAAATGAATAAGATCAAATCTTGTTTATACTGAACGTTTACTAAAAAAGACTACAAAATATAATACTGAACGTATAAAAGTATTTTATTAAATTTTTCCATTTAGATGCTCAGAACAATATCGTTTCTCAGGTTATTAGTAAAAAAACAGTCTATTTAGTGGCTGAAATACATTATCATCTTATTTTATTGTTGACTTACAAAATTAACTAAATAATCATTATGTTGGGATGATTGAATGTTTTAAGCATATATTTTTTAGTTTGTAATATTATAAACTGAACTATCTATTTCTTATAACATAATAGATCTCCATGTGGGCTATTAATTAATTCAGCATGGAATTGGCCAACATTGAATGATTTGCAATGTCGTTATCATATGCATGATATGCATGTTCCAAAAATCTGTTCATCTTCAAATCCTCAATCATCATGTCATAATATCACTACTATGTCTACCGATTATCCGCATTCATTGCGCTCTCGTACATTAATCCAATCCAGTCAGATTACTGGTGACCAGTTGTCCAATGAATTGAATAATAAAATACTTTGTAAACCAACATTATTTCACAAGTCGGGTGCTCAGATAGAAACATTATCAATGATAACGGCACAAGACCGAAATTCTATATTGTCTGATAATTGTGGCAAATTGAGTAGTTATGATCCACGTTCAGCGGATACAGTATCAGTAAGATCAGTATCAAACTTTCATATTTATAAATATGTAAAAAATTTGTTCCTACGATATGTCAACATGAATTAAAGTTATAGATAAGAAACCATCTTAAACGCGTAGCAACGGAATTACACCATCGAGTGCTTACTGTTAATCAAATCCTGTTGATCAAACTGTCGCATGATAAGTGGCCTAGGTGACTTGACTTTGCGGTTCCCTTTTTGTATAAGATGGTCGAAAGGAGATCATTGAGAATATCTGAATTTGGGTTTTGTGACAGTTTAATCTCGTCAGCAATCACGGAGTAACTGTTGCTCCTTGTACTGTTCGAGGCTATATCATCCACCGCTCAAATGACTAAATGTTAATGTATCTCACTGTGACTTCAGATGATGCGATTTAAAGACGAAACGGCCTTTTAGTGCTTCCAGGTTTTCTATGGTGGTCTAGCTTTAATTGACTCATGATCTCAACCATTAAAAAAACAACTTAAAATTATTTGATCTTTTTAGGTGAGAATTATTTGGACTTGAAAACCTTATATGAATGTATGTACAACACGATAAATCATATTCTTGGTTTAGGGTAAAGACACATAGTCCTTGATTCAGTCTAACTATTTGAAAAAAGACATATCTGAATAGTAAGCATTCTCATTAAACGTTTTATCACTACTGTTTCCAACACAATTTGCGTTCATCTTTTCCATTTATTTATTCTACTCGGAATGCACATATTTTCTTAATCGGAATACATGCCTTGACAGATATCCATTTATCTCCCTCGATAAAAAATATTGAATTTCATAAACTTTTTGATTAGGGTGATTATTGATGGTAATAACTTCTATGAATAATGAAGTTAGGCAAATTCTTCTAAATTAAACTAACCTGTAGTCAAATATTGAGTAGGAGTTTTGCTAGACTCATTAAATACGTCTGACTATATACACAACTATTGTGCCGATATAAGCTTAAAATGTTCTTCTAAATAGAGCAACAAAATAGAGTATTAATATATTAACATAAATAGCATTATAAGAATCAATACATAATGTTTTATAACTTAATTTTCATTATTTCAAGTTTGTATTTCTCTGTGTTCTGGATGGATATTTAGGGTGGAGTATACCTTTATCACTATCACTTTCAATAATCCATAGGTTGTACTTAGTACAGAATGATCCAAGTTAGGATAGTATTAAAACTCTGCGGGTACTCGACAGATCTTTCGTTCTAGCACGGGACTTCTTAGTAATGTATCCGTACAACCCTGACGAAGATCTAACTCAGGAGCTTCAGGTCTCATGGTGGATACTTGATCAGTTGCAACACTGGGTCAGCCGGCATTATAAACTTCCAACTCTTAGTAATCATTAGTTATTATAGTTTCGTACAATAGACACTTATCTGCTAATAGTCTTGACGATTAATTTATATATATTCTGGTTAGCGGTTTTTTAGCGAGTTAGTTTTCTACGGGATGGGGTCGCTAACCCTATGCCCAACTCTCCTCCTTTATCCCGGCTTGGGACCGGCAGTAGCCACAGAGGTGCCTGGACACCGATTACCACGACGTGCAATGCTAACCGGTGTTGGAGATGGCTGGAAGAAAGTTAGGGGCAGCCAGACCAAAACGTGGCATCAGTACTTGAAATCACTAACTTCTAGTCCGAGCCATGTTGGTAGATGCAGAATACTTGGTTGGGGTCCGCCTGACTATCGTAACCAATGGTTGGAGACTCTTGGTGACATGGCTCAGAATCGATCACAATGGAGTCGGTGTATACACTCTCTGTCTTTCCTTAAACTAAGAGATTAAAATTGTTTTATATCTTTCTTTCTACGAACTAATTCTTTCTTCCTGTACTATGTTCATATATACAATCTTTCTTTTATATATTACCACCTCTGAATTAACTACTTCTATAAATCCGGTGTCCATCTTGTTGTGTTAATGAGGTATGGTAACTTGGACCGATGCATATATGTGCCTGGTCCTACGTTGTAACTGACTGACTGACAGAGGGGCTCCAGGCGGAGTTTATATATATATATATATATATATATATATATATATATATATATATATATATAATCTGTTTTTTTATTTGCTTAGCTTTCATCCTACGAACAACCTCCATTGAATCTGTTATATAATCCACAAACTATAAACATGAACCACCAGTTCAATTCAATAATGTATTCAAAAGAGAATAATTTTGTAGAAAATGACTATTGTTCTTCTATTGATTGCAAAACAAAATTAATTCAATCTAATTTATTGTCTACATTTCATAAATTCTCTGCGCCTTTTTTGAAAGAATCTACAAGTGAACGAAAACAACCACAATGTATTACAAATTCTGATTCTCATTCACATTTAAAATCGATTCATTCAAATAAATCATCTAACCTCCAACAACCTTCATCTAGTAATCCAGATACTTCAATATGGACAGAAAATTCCGTAAGTTTAATGTGTCATTTTATACAGTGATGATATTTAGCTTAGTATCATGTTGTTATTCTGTTACGGAACTGATTATCAATCGAACACATTCAAATTCAATTTGAATTAACATATAAGCAGACAGAGTTAAGATCCCAATACTGTACAGTGATACAATTAAAACAGTCCATTGTGTCATCAAATAAAAATAAAGAGAATTCAGTGAAGAAAATTTTATTTTCAACGAAATCATTTACTGGAGTTGTACATTCGTATCTATAGTTGTGTGGTAAATATATGTCTATATAAGGATAGAAACAATGGCATCAAATTGATTCTAGACTCCAAATATCAAAGGAGGTTACGTAATAATCAGGTGTTAGAGAAGAATAGAAGGATGAAAATAATTTACGGGTCAGAATTATGAAAGTTAATTGTCTGCTTGACATATATGAAGAAAAAGGTTATAATAATAACTGATTACGGTTTTAAATTACAAAACATACTACAGAAGAGAATTAGGGCAAAAGAACGACTATAAATTGGACGTATCATTTTTGTACTCAGAGTTCGGACTTAAATTGTTGGGTCACAAACGTCTCAGTAGTGCATAAGTTTTCTTATTCGACCTCCCTTCGTCCTAGCTCCTTTGATTATGTAGATCATTTTAAAGGAAGACTCCTTCAGAGTAAAATGTTCAAAGTAGACAAGATGCTCCTGTATTGAACTGGTGGCTATCTTGCATTCGCCTTTTAAAGCCAAGTTGGGTAATGTTATGAGATGCATTTAGGAAGTGATAATCTTGTGAGGCCAATGTATCCTGCCCCATAGATACAAGTAAACTGACAGATATACATCTATGTAACCCAAAGCGGAAGTCCATCCTTAACACATCCGTGAATGGTGCGCCGGCTTGAGAAGACAATACTGAGTTTAGCTGAGCAGAAAGTTTCATTCAGGGATTTTGCAATCCGTTTATCCAGGAGTTCAGCAGCCATACCTTCCTTAAATTCCATATTCATAAAAAGAGTTTTCTTTTGCACCGTTGGTGCTTTTTCGGGATGTAGTCTAGTTGTTGAGTTCTTATCGACGAATCTAAGTGGATAACCATTTCTATCGAAGATGAAATAATTTGTCATTTGTTGTGTCATTAGAACATTCGCCTGATCCTTGAGGATAAAGAGTGAATTAAAAAAATTGTCTTTATGAATCGTCATAACTATATTACCAAACTCTCGCATTCGAAAATCTCTCCTTGTTATATATATCTGTTAACTATTTAGGCGTTATTTATGCATTCATCATTATTTGTATCAATAACAGTTTGTTAATTTTTACAAACAAAATGTCTTCGTTATTCCTTTTCGTATGTTCTGTTAAAAGATTATTCAAACTGCTCGTCCAATGAAAAGAACTAAACAAAAAATGAAAACAGATCAGCTAATGAAGAAGCTTATCCCATCTGAAAATTTATTTAAATTTTCATCATCATTTCCCAACACTGTAAGTTTGATTTTGATAGATATTGATCATCTGTTCTTGTTATGACTGTGAAAAAATATTTGCTGCGGATTAAGGGGGGCGAATTATTGATCGGACCAAAGACGCGCAAACACGTAGAACGACCTAGGGTTCTGATTGGTCTCGCATCCCTGTATAGCCCAGCCAATTGAGTCCAGAACACAAGTTTCAGCCTCGGATATATGAATCATTATATTTCAAACATACTTTGTTTATATACCAATCAAGCACACCACATCGTACCATAAAATAGAAAACAACATTTTGTACAATATTTAACGAGTGAACAGATATCGACCAATAGGCAATGTCCATTTAAAGTCCAAGGACACCATTGGACTTAACATGATAATTATTGGTCTATTCCTCCGCATCCACAACAGTTCTGTTAAAAACTAGTGACATACTTTTGTCAAGATACTCATTATTTTACAATGTTCAAATCAATAGTGTAGGAAGCAAATTTAAATTCAATTTTTATGGTGATTCTTCTCTACCTTGTATTTGTTGCCTAACTCATACCTTTGGAAGTTATTAATTTGTGCATTTCGACCACCAGTTTCTAAGTAAAATCATGCTATTTACCTTGAAGCTAGTTGAACTCTTTAGGTCGCGAAGCATATTCAAAAAATGCATGTTAAAGTCACTGGAGAACACTATTTATTGTGTAACGTTTGAAGGAGGTGCTTAAAAGCTTTAGTCACATAGATCATAGCAGCTAGATATTATTATTTTGGTTTACGTGCCATTAAAAACTTTCTTATTGCTTAAAGTTTGAATCTTCAGATATCAAGGTTATGATGACAGATTTTCTCAATATAACTCAACTGAAAACGATTATCATTTTAGCATGCTGTTCCTCAGGATTGACAACGTTATCAAAGGCTTACAATTTTATCTGAAAGAAAAATGGAAATTAAAAAAAGTTTATTTTCAACTGTGTTTGACGTTTACCTTGCAAATGTAACAATAAGTACTAATTTGACAACCTGAAACTTTCTATCCCTTATAGAGAAAGTACAAGAACTAACTATAGTAAACGTCGAACACTTAGTTAACTGATAAATGTTGGTGGGTATATGATAACAGCCAATAAAGAAAGTGATATAAGAACAACATTCGAACAGTTTGTTTCTGAACTATTTAACAACTAAATTGTTTAACCGAATTACTTATCAACCAAGTGTCAATTTGGCTATGCTTATGAAATGCTATGAAAATTAAAGATATGACTACTCCATTTTATTTCATAATAATTCTGAAACTCACCAACATTTTCTTCTCGAATCCCATCACTTTCTTCAAAATCAAGTCATCATTGTAGCAAGAGGACGTAGTTTGTCAATCTAGTACATTAAAATTAGTTATCAACTCTGTGCACATGAATCAGTATGATGCTGTAAATCTAGCTCTGATTAGTTGCACTCAAAACACTTATAATTTATAGAAATTAACAATTCGAAGTTAGTAATTGTCACGGAGTTATTACTACCTGGAAACGATTGAAAACAAAAGGTAACTTAATAGCTATAAATTAATAACTATAAATTTTGGAACTCCCTAGTTTTATGAATCCACGACCTTGTGTCCTCGCCATGAGCACGATACAATTAAATCAGTGGATCAAAAAGCAGTATTTCACATAATCATCCATATTACGTCAGTAGATTTGTATTAACGAGAGTGATGACATGTGTTTAACTTCTAATGTGATTGAACCCGATTTATCACAATTCCTCGTGCTTTAATTGTTCTCCAGCATGTACTACTTTGTGAGGAAAACTGACTAAAAATTGAACATATTTTATATCCTCCACCCATCAATTATTCTAATATTCAAGAACTTGTAATCACACTCGTCTTAATTCATTTTTATATCGGTTGTTTGAATCTTCTTATTGAGTCCCAAATAGGATGAAACACGTGTCCTGAATTCCATTGTTAGCCACCATCCATCACATTTATCTTAGTTGGGATCTGATGAGTTCACATAGTTATATATCTGGTAACATTATAAATAGGAATAAGTTTTAATACTACTATTCTAACTCGATAAATATTCAAAATTTCATGTACTCATTTTTGAAGTACAGTTTATTTTATAAAGAGGTTAGTGATACCAACTGATTATCAAAGCCGAAGTTACTCAGAATAGATTGTGTACTTGTAACTTACTTCCTTGAACACAATGAATAAACGTTTGATTCAAATGATAGAATTGATTTGCATGAAAACTAAATGAAGATTAATTTTTGTTACTAGACTTAATACTATTTTAGTGGCCCCTTATCTGACCCCAATTGTATTGTAGGGATGATTGTTTTTGAAATATACGTACCACCAAGCCTTGTACATAATCATCGACTTAAATCGCGTTGGTGAACAACGAGATAAAATAACTCAAATATGAGAATGGATGTTTGAATACGTATATTTTGTACACTCATTGATCTGGACAGACAATCAGAGGAATGAAGCGATTAAAAGAGAGCGAAGCGAGATGGCACGCAGTGGAGAAAGCATGTGAGCTAACTCCATTTAATCAAGTGTAACTCAATATTTATAGTCACACAAAATAAGCTACAGACATGTGATGAATGGGGTAAGAAGTGTACACACACAAACTCCCCTATAAGAACAGTCAAGATTGATAAATGAATAATTAACAAGGTCAAAACGTGACTCAAGAAGAATGGGTAAATTGACCTATCCAGAAGCTAGAATAAGTTATATAGTAACATAGTAACCAACACTACACTATTATTATTTCCTATGTCGAAACTGATAGATCCTGGGTTGTAATCTCACGGGGCAGGATCGTGAATACTCACTGCTGAGAAGTCCCACAATGGGACGAAACAGCCGTTCAGTGCTTCCAGGTTTTCCATGGTGATCATCTAGCTTCAAGTGACTCATGATCTCAACTATTAAAATGATTTATTTTGACAAAAGTAACTTTTCGTTTGTTTGTTTGTTTTTCTAAACATAATAATCAATATTACCATGTATGTTCTTTGAAACCAATCAGCTAAACGAATCATTTATCTTTAGGTTCATAAATTTTTCAGTAAAACAAAACAAACAAACAAAAAAAGGAATGAAAATTGAAAATTACTAAAAAAAAAACAGAAAATTATTTATTCTCCATTGAGGGGGGTGGATATTAATTTATTTGAAGATATGACTAGTTTAATTGTTTCTATTCACTAATGATGATCAATTTGTTTGTTTAAAATAGTAAACTAGTTTTGTCATCTTTTCAGTTTTTCCCCTTTGTATAACAGTTTGTTTTCTTTATTGTGTTTAATTTCAATTTGGGTTAGGTTAAATTGAAGTTAGTAAACAAAAAAAAGTGGTTTTAGAGTTTATTTTACAACTTGTGTGTTAATATTAGTTTTATAGTGTGTGTAGATACAATATTCATTGTGAGAAAGTATTGATATGATTCACTTGGTATTGTTGTTTACTTAAATCTTCCCATTGATGTTTAAGACTGTACTTGATCAGTCTGTTATTGACCTTAATTCACAAGCATTATAAACAAAGATGGATAGTAGCTACTGGTGACGAAATGCTGTTAGCCACTATCCATCTTTGTATCGATGTGATGTTTGATAGTCAGAAGTAATCGATAGATAACCTTAGGAATAGTTTCATAGCTAGTTGGTACTTATCAAAGCCTTTACCAATCAACTATTCATCATGGTTTAACAAAAGCCAGTGAATTTTCAACATATTATATATAGAATAGATCGATACCAGAAGAACTTATTAATTAGTAATGGTCAGAACTAAAAGTTTGATAATCTTCGGAATTCATTCTGAGGATATTGATTAATTTGAATGGTTTTATAAGATGATGTAAAAAAGTCATAAATACTTGAGAATTATGTAGACTATAGTTTAGTTTCTATCTTCAGGGTTAAAATTTCTCCATTTACGAACTCTAGCAAATTTCCCTGTTGATATGAGTCACTTGATATTAAAATTTTATTTGTCTTATCATGATTTACAGTATAAGGTTTTATCTGTTAAATCAAATAGCCTAATTTCTTATAGTCCAGTTGTTTAATAAGTAGTGTACTCTAAAATTTGTGAATTATATGTAATTCAATAAAAACAAGGAATTTGATTGAGATCGTGAACCTATTGATGTTAGACCATCATTGAAAACCTGGAAGCACTGGACGGCCGTTTCGTCCTATTGTGTGATTTCTCAGTAGTGCGCATCCACGATCCCGCTCGTGTGACTCGAACCCAAGGCCTTCAGTCTCGAGCGCGAACGCTTAACCTCGACACCACTGAGCCGGCATCCAACGGTGTTAATATTTAACCTCAACTAATCCACGAAATTGCGCGACCATCTTCCATTGTACTGAGGTAGGCACTTGTCTCTATCCGACACGGATTAGCTGTAATATAAATTGGTTCTTGATCTCAATCAAAAACTTAGTAATCTCCACAACCCTATACTGATAAAAACGAGTAATACTGGACATGACTTTAGATATTCTATAAAATTATTCCTTTTGTCCCGAACGTTTCGCATAAATTTACTAATAAAGTGTAGATTCAGAAACTGGCTATAAGATCAACTTTTTGTATAACACTTAGTGATACTGACCACTTAAATAATCCAAGGTAGGTGCAGTGTCCAAATGGTACAATTTAATCGTCGAACACTAAATCTTTCTAACCACTTAACAACCGCTCTACGTCTAACATATTACTTACTGCCTCACTGAACTAAGCTTTACTATGTGTTATTGAATAGACCTTACCAGTGGCTTGTGCATCTAATTTCAATCAATTGACGATATCGTACGATCACCTGACTTTGACTGCCGGTGAGTTCATGAATATGCATTAGACTAAATCGAAATAACCATTCATTACTTCCTGGCTTACAGAGTTCATATTATTTAGTTCAATTTTTGATGAGGATCATAAGTTTTGACAATCTCTATACTATTAGTAAGCCTTAGTTAATGTTGGAATGAATACTTCGCAACTAAAAATTGTTTAACTCATAGAATACAATACTGCCTGAGCTATAAATTCCTCAGTCAGCCTAACTCAGCAACTACGAAAAAGACCGATGCACTAGAGAACATCATAAAGTTATTGACAACAATCCAACTGTTCATACCGACTTAGGGGAGCATCCGTTTCAAATTTAAGATCAAATAGGGTTACAAATCCAGTACACTTTCGTTTCAACTGTAGTTTGGCGAATATTTAGATTCATTGAATACTACATAGAACATGATAATTCATTACGTTATTCATCATAATTTATACTTTAATAATCTTCGTTTATGGTACAGTGAAAATTTCATTACATAAATAAAATACAATTTCTCATTTCTGTTTTTACACATAGTTTCTATGAATTAAAAATGAAGTAAAACAAATCATAATACATATATAATTCATTGACCTTGATCAATAGAAATGTATTTGGTTAATGCCTATGTAAATGAATAGAACCGGTCATGTGTATGATCATATATGTTGACTATAGTGTATTTTTTTTCTCTCTTATAATTCATTTGAAATTAAGTAGTATGCATAGAGTTAAGCTAGCTTGCCTTCATTTTCATGTGGTGCATTTTTAATTTTTTTTAATCATAGTAACTATTATTATGTTTACTAAACATTGGTAAGACTAACTCATTTAAAATTAGTATAAAGATTTGTGGAAATGTATATTTTACAACACGGATTGATCCTCATCATTGAGCGATCAGGATTGGATCCAAGAGATTCAGGACTTATTGTGACTGCTTGTCTTCATATATTAAATTTATTTGAGATATACTTTGTTTTCTTCCAGAAAATTGAAAGTCAACCAAATAGATTTGTTCAAGTGAGTTCTACAATATTACTAATTTATAAAATTTTATATATTTCACATTTCTTTTATAACTTCTTATTCGAAGTTCTTTATATCAATGAATGAAATAGTTACTGCAGGCTTCGCTATTCTTATTGATCAACTGATTTAAGACAATAATACTAATGATAATGGGTGATAATTACACCAAGAGTGCAACTGCCAATATTTTCTAACTTGTGTCATACAAATGTCAAGATAGATTTTTAAGCGGTGTCAATATTCAGTGACTTTGTATGTTCATCCACTGTTATTTCTCAAAGATCTAGTTGGAACATGTATATAATGCTTAGATTCAATGAGGCGTGTTTTTCCATAGTGGACAAGGTCATTTCATGATTTTTATCATATGAAAACATAAATTTCAACGAGTCAAATACATCATTCAATAAAATGATGGTATGTTATGTCACATTTAAAATAATGATCGTTAAAATTGTATCCGACTGACAAACGAGCAATGAACTCAGCAATTCTTGACGGTATAAATAATCTACAACACTTTCACCATTCAGACGATCCAAATACATTAGCATCATTGAAGTAAAATTATTCAGCAGATGACCGATAAACAACCACTTTCGTTATAATTGATAACCTTGACGTTAGCCCTAGGTCAATACTGTTTTATGGTTTTACTAGTTCATAAATATTTCCTATATTTCAAAAACATTAGCAAAACAACTATCGGTTGCGATTTATCCAAATAAATTGATCCACCATTCAATTTCACATATGCTGACTCACCTAAATTGGGCGTTGACCATTCCCTTTATACCTAAAATCCACTCACAATTATTACCATTTTTAGAAAAAAATAACCCATTATGTACTTAGGAAGATGACCAAGTTTGTGTACTATTTTGTCTAAAGGTGAAATAAGCTGTTAATTGAGTATTTAATAGTAAGCATTTGTTAAGTTACGTTGATATTCACATCACACAAAGTCTGGCTAACAAATATTATTGCGAAAGTTGTATTTAAAAAATCTACCACTGGTGTCTTTAACTTAAGAAAATGATAAATGAAATCACTATTATACATCGACATATTCTACTTGTATATCTTAGTAACTGCTCAATCATGCAAAAAATTTTTGGAAGTACTATGTAGTACACTAAGATAATAATAAATTGTTTGAGGTCATCTATCCATTTCTCAATCTTCCATAACAGTGGTACCCAGCTGGGCTTCAGCCATACTTCGGTTTCCCACGATCTCTAGTCAACCTGAATGGCAAGTTAATGTAAGTCCTCCGTCCCTTTACGAAGTTGAAAAAGCCATAGGAAATCTGAAACGAGGGAGAGCAGCAGGCCCTGACAGGTTTACTCCTGAGATTTTTAAGGATGGTGGTCCAGTATTAACAATGAGATTAATCGAGGTCTTAGGTAGAATTTGGGAACTGGACGTAATCCCATCTGACTGGTCTCAATCACTGATTGTGCCAGTCTATAAGAAAGGACAAAAGTCCTCTTGTGACAATCACAGAGGAATCAGTTTGACCAATATAGTGTCTAAAATATTAGCTTCAATAATACTTCGACGCCTAATCAAAGCTCGTGAAGAGCAGATTAGAGAAAACCAGGCCGGTTTTCGACCTGGACGTGGTTGTATAAATCAGATATTCACACTACGTCAGGTTTTAGAACACAGACACACATTCAGACGCCCCACAATGGTAGTATTTCTCGACCTTAAGGCGGCATTCGACTCTGTTGATCGTGAGGTTCTATGGCAGTGTTTGTCACTGAAAGGAGTACCAAAGAAGTACATTAACCTTATAAAGGCTCTCTACTCGAACACAACTGGTAGAGTGGGAGCTTATGGCGAGCTGTCATCAGAATTGATTACCTCAAGTGGTGTTCGTCAGGGCTGTCCACTCTCCCCATTCTTGTTCAACTTTGTGGTCGACGTACTTTTGGAGATAACACTCTCCTCATCTAAATTTCCAGGGGTTGAACTTGTACCGGGAGGTTCACTTATTGACTTAGAATATGCAGATGACATAGTTTTATTTGGTGAAGACGCTGACAAAATGCAGAGTCATCTGACCACTCTAAGCAACAATGCAAGCATGTTCGGGATGCGATTCTCTCCCTCGAAATGCAAAATGTTGCTTCAGGATTGGGTTACATCGACACCCGAACTAGTGATAGGGAGTGAAGTAGTTGAGTGTGTCGACCGCTTTACTTATCTTGGAAGTCTCATCAGCCCTTGTGGTCTGGTGTGTGACGAAATCTCAGCACGGATACAGAAGGCTCGACTAGCATTTGCCAGCTTGCGTCATTTATGGCGTAGGCGAGATATCCGTCTACCAACCAAAGGACGTGTTTACTGCGCAGCAGTTCGTTCCGTCCTACTTTATGGCAGTGAAACATGGCCGGTAAGAGGAGAGGATATTCGTAGGTTACTAGTATTCGATCACAGGTGTCTTCGAAAGATTGCTCGTACATCCTGGGACCATCGAGTAAGTAACACAGTTGTTAGGAGAGGGGTACTAGGTAAGGATGGCAAATCAATTGATGAAGTAGTGAAACTTCATCAATAGAGATGGCTGGGACACGTGTTACGTATGCCCAACCACCGACTGCCTCGACGAGTGATGTTCAGTGGTATAGGAGTAGGTTGGAAGAAAGCTAGGGGCGGCCAGACCAAAACATGGCACAAGTCCATGAAGTCACTGACAAGTAGACTGAGTCATGTTGGTAGGTGTAGACTACCTGGTTGGGGACCACGAGATGATAACAACCGATGGTTAGAGACCCTGAATGACATGGCTCAAAATCGTTTGCAATGGCGCAGGTGCATCCACTCTTTGTGTTCGCCCAAATTCTAATCTTCTGAATTCTTCATGTCCCTTTTTTCCTCTTTCCAAATTTATTTCACTGGATTGTACTCTTTAAATAACATCTCCAAACCCTAATCTTCCCGATTACTGCTTATACTCTTGCTACCTCTACCACTACGGGATTCGAATCGACAAGTGCATCTCTGTGCTAATGTGGTGTGGCAACTCGAACTGATGTACGTACGTACGAAGTTCTAAGTTGTTACTGACTGACTGTCTGGTACCCAGCACTTTCGCTTCATCTAGTGGGTGAATGTTGCATTTCACAATAGTTTCCACTGAACATTTCATTTCAAGAATCTGAAGCTACTTACACCTATCTACAATGAATTATATCGCGTTAATATTCCCAAAGTTAGACGCAGAATACTATATAAGGATGAAGTAGTGAGATTTTATCGACTGAATAACTCAGCGGGCGATGATGATCGATGTAAGAGCAGGTTGAGAAAATGGTAGGAACGACCAAGCCAATATATATTGGCTCATGAATACATAGGCTGTTGAACTGAGCGATATCGGTAAGTTCAGACTGACTGGTTGGATTACAAGTGATTACGCAATGATTTGAGTGACAACTCAAAACAGTTCGTAGTGGCGAAGATGCATTTGATGTTTGTTTTCTCTTAGATACGAAGCTTCTTAATTTCTTATAAACTTTTTCAACTCCTCTAGTCTATACTTTCTTGAACCATACATTTGATGTCCGATCTCTTCTATTACTGAAAACACTCACTACCTCTACTACTCTCAGACTTCTGACAATTCTATCTCACTGTGCTAATAGAGTGTAGCAACTTAGACTGATGTAGAAATGTACCAGTTTCTACGTTTTGACTGATTATGAACACGCTGATATGGCGCATCCCAACATGCCAAATAAAAAGCACAGTAAAAATCATGGCTCCAAAAGTAATATGGACTCAAGTAGACACACTATCTATATATAGTTGTCCAATCAGTTATGCGAGTCAAAAATGACTTGTAAGTGGTATTTGGCAAACTAATCTATAATGTACGCGGACTTAAGGTATATATGCGGTTATCTTTCTAAGAAAAAGATATGTAAACTGAGATCTGCTTTATTTACATCTTATTATGTCTGTATTATGTAACAAAGCGATTCCCAAGTGTTATTACATTTCGTAAAGACAAATAATTTATATTCTAGCCTCTTTGAGCTAAATGGCTTAATTGTGGATCTTCGTGGAGTAGGCACTGATAATGTTGTGTAGAAAGATGATAAAAGTCCTCTAATTAAACCATTGAGCTCACAAAACACAGCACCACTATAAGAATCGACTAGATCTACAAAAATCATCCGTTTTAACTATCTCTTTATTAAATGACATCTTAAAATTAATTTATCGGTCAAGACCGGTCACTCACTAGTAAGCGATAATTATTTGAACGGTTATCTGAAAAATAAGCGGAACTGGTGCTAGTTGGAAATAGAAAATTTCAGCCGAACTAAACGTAGATTTATGACTCATTTCGTGTTATAGCAAACTGATAGTTTCTTCACTAACGACTGGCTAATTTACCACCGACTGAACTGGTAGGAACAATTATACGATTAAGCGTTTACAATAATTATATAGTAACGTTCGAATGAAACTGCTACTGCATATCTTAATCTAAAATGTATGTACCTAATTGTTTCTTCCTCAATTCAACATTATTACACTTTTTGTTTGTGTACAAGAAACTATTAACCAACCAATAGCTTAGATGATTAAGTTCATCAATCGTAATGGTAATTAACATGATTAATTATAAATACAGATGAATGTGTCTAGCTGAAATTGTCAAATAAGGCTCAATATCTCAATTTTTAATATTGAATAATGTATCGTTCAGCACACATCATCAGATTTTTATCTTCTATTTGAATGTTACATATATTCTTTCTTCCTTATATTACATATCAATCTTTCACAATTGTTTCCAGAAAGCTAAACCAATGAATCGAAAGTAATAATGAAAAAGGTAAACAAAGAAAGAAAACAACAACAACAACCTATCATCACAGTATTGCATTTCTTATGAGTATTTTTTCTTCTCTAAAACTGTGCTCGAACCACAAGAAATTCCATTGTTGAATATGTCTCTCGATATACCTAGTCAAGGTCTTATTTGCTTTCTCTTTTTTATCCACACCAAATAGTATAATAGTAACAAAAGGAAAAAACGAACAAGCCTGTTTTGTAAAGTGCATTCTATTCAAAATCACTTTTTTCTAATACAATCTTCCCCTTCAAATTATATTCTCCCCCTTCCTTTTTTTCTCGCTCTAACAAATGTTTGAAGCATCTTATTGTAAATTGTGCTTTGTTACTTACGTGATTTTTTTTCTGTCTCAAGAAAATTAATTCCAAGGTGTTCATTTAACTTCTTTTTTAGTTTTTTTTTGTGTAAACTATTTTTTCATTACCCCCCCCCCTGTGCTATTTTTTATTTGTTTTGGGATTTTTTTACATGATCGCTGATATTAAACATGTTTAGAATTATCTATAAATAAAATGAAATAATTCATACCGACAATTCAGGACTTAAATATACAACAAATCAAAAAATTATTCCAGTTTTGATTTAAGATGGATATTATCAATCAGGACTCAGTAGCTGAATGGATAATGCGGTGGTGTTTGAAATGAATAGTACTGGGTTCGACTCCCAGGGTAAACATCAGCTCTGAGATGCAGGTACATCCAGCTGACGAGTCCCAAATGGGACGAGACGCGCGTCCTGGATCCCACTGCTAGCCACTATCCAGGTACGCGCACAGTATGCACATATGCCAATAACAGACTGATCAATTGCAGTCTTAAACCTCAATGGGAAGGTACAGGCAAAACAATACCAAGTGAATTTATCAATCTAGAGTCTGAGAAAAATGTTAGTTGACCTAAGTTGTATATCAGAATAACGCGATGTGATGAAAACAAAACAAATCGAAATAATGTAGTAGAAACGATAAACAAATTAAACCTTGAGAATTTGGTTTGTAAAGATAAAAGGTATTCATCAAGGATAACTGGAATTGAAAATGAAGAGGAATATGTATTGAATGAATTGGGTAGTTTATTTAATTGATAAGTTTATATGAACCTATATTTATTAGAACCAGCAGCTGTGCAAAGACAATAAAAAATGGGTACCATTGACAATTCTACACAACATTTGATAATGGATAATCAAGTCAGTATGGCTAAAAATTAGATTGCCCACTAGAACATGATATCTGGTCAAATGATACACTCGAATCAATTAACCAATCAATGATCAAGAATCAGATATAGGCTTGAACAACAGTTTATTGAAAAATAGCTCAATGCAATCAACAAAACAAGTTATTGAAATAAACGTTTTATAAACAAATATGTTCAGTGTAGCCAGATATGTCTGTCCTTGCTCAATCACAGCTTACTTTCACACGATATATAAGCTTTTGGTTAAAAGCGGTTCGGGCGAAAGTGATCTGTAAGTACTCAAGGTGGAGGTTGAACAAAATCTATTCATTCACGCACTTTATTTGAACGGTTTAAGATACTAGGGGTGCAACAATGTGCACATTACACTATTCATTTGTTTTAGTTTCAATATTAGCCTCTTGAAATATTGAATTGGTAAATGTAGTTAACACATACATATTAAATAGCTGCTTACCCTACAACTGATTAATCACAGTAATTTGATTAACAATTCAACACACTGTTGACGAGTCCCATACTGGGACGAAACGTCCATCAAGTGCTTCCAGGTTTTCAATGGTTGTATAACTCAGATTGGTTCATGATTTCAATGAAATACTCCAGCAGTTTGCATTAATTAGTTCACAAAGGCTCCAGTATCCTTCGAAATGACTAATACTCTTAGCAATGGCCTCAATCTTTTCAGATGGGTACGACGACTATACATTATTGCCTAAATTCAAGTATGATTTAATATACTTCATACGTAATGACTTGCATATCATTTACATCGAAGCTCAGTAGTCTAAAGGTTAAGCGTTTGCGTGCGAGATCGAAGGTTTTGATTCGACTCCAGATTACAAGTCATACATCCCTACTGCTAAGCGATCCCATATTAGAGCGAAATGTTCATCCAGTGCTTTCAGGTTTCTAATGGTTTTCATAGGTCGGCTGGTAATCTCGGTAAAAATCAATAATCTCTACCACGTATGTATCTGAACAACATCATAACACATATACGAAAGTACTGGATGATCTAGGCACCTTAATGAGTGAACATTTGGAAACCTGACGGTATAGCAACAATAAGTAAAAGACGTATTCGAAGGAGTAAAATACAAAATCTTATTGCATAGAAAACCAGTAAATTTTAAATATATGTACATCACCGCTATTGGGAAATACGATTTCGCTGAAAATATATTTAAGGTATTTTGTACCTTAAAACATAAGCTGGTTCTCAAACTTTTTAATTAATTGGCTTTCGGTTTCCAATAATCAATGAGAGTTTCCTAAAATAAATAAAAATTTAATCAATAGTACGTAAAGTTACATATATTGAGAGAAATGTAAAATTATACACTACTTTTGAATATTAAGTAGCATAATGATCAAGCATAAAATATGCTTTTACATTACCGACTGATTATAACTAGATAAGCACTATGAACCAGGAGGCACTGAATAGTTATTCCATCCTAGCAGGAGATTCCTCAATCTGTAGTTTGAAATTATGAAGACTATGCAACTTTCACAAACCTCCCTTTACCCTAATAAAAATACAAATCATGAGAAGAGACCAGGTCTCATTATATGGTATTCACACTTTAGATATTTGTTTTAACAGATATCATATGAATAACTTCCCTTTTTAACAATAACATCAATTTATAGTTCTGAAAAGACTTTTAGTCCTCAGAAAACTTAAAATCTATGCTGATCATTGGTATAATCAAACATGTATTATAGTTCCCGCTTTAGATGACCTTAAAAGTCACGGTCTGTTCAAGTTTGAAAATATGCATTATCACATAGACTCACTACATGTTGTTCAGTTTTAAAAACCTGATTAATTCCAGCTTTTCACTGGTTATCCGAATGATATTTTTTCTTCGTAAAAACAGTATTTAAAGTATGGAAATACTTAAAAAACTTAATGGATTAAAGATAAGGTTCTCATAGTAGGCTATAAAACGTCTTGAGTTCGAGCTGTGGAAGAGTTATTCTTATATACTGTTGGGAATTCACAAACGAGAACGAAACACCTGTCTAGTCCTTTCTCATTTTGAAAGATAATTTCACAGTTAATTTCAATCCGTCCCCAAAAACTCAATAACTAGTTAGTTTGTCAAGAAAAAAAAGCTATTTACCTTAATTGTTGTTTTCCGAACAGCTTCCCATGGATTGTTAGAAAACTCCTCGATTGATGGGAGACTTACGCGACAAAGTATCACACGCTAACATAATCGTAGATTTAAGAAAGGAAATGATTAAATTTTTTAGAAATTTACCGTCATCAGAAGTATGAAAACATTGAAATCTATAAATTTTTTGCGATGAATAGCAGTCATCAAGTAATAAAAAAGGAATGACTTGAAACGAGTGATAAAGGCACAAATTGGAAACGATCCAGTGCTGAAGCGCATTTTCGACGATTTCATGAATAAATAGTGATTCCAATGAAACAGTGAAATAATCACTAACTTTATGTACTAGAACCTTTCCTGCCAAACTTTATTTATCCGAAACAAAACTTTTTATGGCCTTATTGACTCTATCGGAATCTTCGCTACATCATGATACACATATTCATTCATAATCACCCTCGTACGTATAAGTATGCCAATATCTGTAATAACTTTGATTTTAAAATATTATAGATTGTAAACAGCTGGTGAGAACCTAACGAAATAAAATGAATTCATATTATTTTGCACTAATCTTCGTCCTTGCTCCCTCTAACGTTGGTTATCAGCTAGGTAGTCTAAAGCACCTGGGTTCGGCCCTCGATAAAGTCATGGATGTGTACTTATGAGAAGTTTCATACTGGAACGAAAGGGATATCTACTGCTTCCTGGTTTTCCCTAGTCGTTTAGATAAATTTATTTTATGATATAAACCATGAAAAGATTTGGATTAAAAGACCGCATAAAATTATAAAAGTGTCCTTTTTCCATTTTCATGAAAATTTTGTCATCGAAAATGACGATTCTAGATCAGTCTACTAAAGGTATCTTTTAAAGTAAATAGTAATTTATACCACTTATAAACTTTAATAAAGGAATTGGATTTTTTAAAAATTAGCAACCAATAATATCACAGAACACAAATTCTAAAAGAGAATCTTGTGAATGCTTAGATTACCCATATTTCATATTCTAATAAGTGATGTTTGTAGTTGCGAACATATTAATCAGTTGCAGTTTTGCATATAAATTCTCTTATTTAACATCATGAAGACTTAATTAACTTTATTTGTATTTTATTCAATAATATTCAATCAGTCTCTATATTCCGTTCTCATTAGTGACTAACTTCGGGAGGAAATTCAAGTAATTATAGTGAGAAGCCGTGATCAGTGGAAGGAAACTGCATCAGGTGTGAAAAGAAGACAATGGAAGATGCTCAAGCGATTGATTGAAGTTAGACTTGCACGCTACTGGATCCCAAACCCAGTACTCTAGAAGTTGAGCGTATATGCGCAAGAATGAATGCCGTAAAATCGACCCTTGGTTGAAGAGTTGCACGTGAGCACTTTTGAGGAAACCCATACTAGGATGCAACAGTTATTCAGTGTTCCCAGGTTCACAATGGTTGTCTACGTTAGATCAATTCTTGATCTCAATGAAATTCATCAATCTCCACAACCTCACACTGACAATATCCAACTGGTTGAAAAATAAGATTAAAATTTCAATCAATAAGCAAGTCTTATTCGATGTACATTTTGTGGCAGTTGACACTCGCTAGCAAATTATATTTATAATCATGACGATAATTATGCCCGACGTTGCACTCAAAATTGTGTCTCCCATTTTCATAGTCTTAGACGTCGCCAATGATTAAGTCTTCCTTTATGATTAGACATTTTTTCAACTAGTCAAGTGGAATTTATACATATTCATTCACCCAATTTATAAGAGAATTACAAATCGCATAATAATAAATTACATGGTCATCCTCAAATTTAAAAGCAAATTAATGTTCAAAATCTTATGGACTATATTTGATCCAAGCTATAATAAGAAGAAGGTTATGCACAAAATATAATTAAATGAACTTACTTTACCAACCGAATGTGCAACACGAACATGTGCAGCTATTGAACTGCAATTCATTTGTTCTCCATCCTTAGCTGTAGAATCCCTATCAACTAGAACACAAAATGAAGCATGTCTCCAATTGGGATCTTCAGCATAAAGTAGGTAATCAGCACCACCTACACATAATCCAGGGCGTACAATCCAACCCTTAGATCTATAATATATATATACAGCATAACGGCGTAATAGATGGAGCTCCTTTTCTGAATACTTTTCAATCTGTTCTCGTGCTGATTGAATTTGTAAACAAGGTGAATCAACAGATCCTGTACACAGACAAAACCAAACCTCAGTCTATTTATCAAATAAATGAGAAAATAAAAAGACATTACAAACAACGATTTTACAAATTATTTAATACACGTAATACAAAAAGCCAACCTGAAGGTTCTCTTAAAGGTACTAACAAAGGAGAAATAAAAAGTATATAGTGCTCAATTGGCAAAACAAAATTCTTCTTACAAATAAAAATTATGTATTTCTAATATCCCAATGAGTAGAAAAATCAAATTTTCCGACGTTTCGTGACTCAGTGTAAGCCACTTTTTCAGGGTATAAATAACCAGATCAAATTTAATCCAACTTTAAGAATAATATTGTCCGACCGGGCATTTTTTTAAAAAAAAATAGTACAAAGGAACAACGTAAGAATACTATGTGCGATCAATCAAAAAACCGATCTGAACAAATCAATGTCGTGTCATTTCGGTCAAGGTGATTCGTAAGCGATATTTGTGTGTGTAGTGTGCACGGTAAGGATGAAAAAATATGTGACCTTTATGGTGAGAAAGGATAGAGTTTAATTTATATGTACGATACTAGTGTGAAATGTGAATAATATCAGACTAGGTGGCTAGGATAGATAGTCCAACGAGAATGTATAGTAAAGCCTTCTTTTCTATTGACAGCAGTAGGATTAAGCAATATATGGAACGATTCAGCTACTCTCCTTTCTTTGTAATTGGAAAAACCTTCTTGTAATATTTTAAAATCGATTTGGTGGTTATTGTAAATGGTGTGAACTGCTATTGTCAATTTAATATGAAGTCCACCCAGTTCTACGGGGTTATTAGGTGGTTTCATTGTGTACCTAATATGTTATTTGGCTCGAGTCAAGATTTCGCGAGATAACTCTCCAATATGGAAGGCATCACAATCGACACATCCTAATTTGTACACATAGTTCTGTGTTGACATAAATGGGAATTTTTCAGTTAAGCGAACTGAAGTATTTCGAAATGTGTTCGTTGTTTTGTAATATACTTTAATTGTGTGTTATTTTAAAATTCTTTAGAGTTCTTCTGACGTACTGTGACGGCATGGTAAAACTGCAATACCAATCTATGGTATTTCATTCGGATAATTATTATTGAGCGATGAAACATGTTGTTTTAATACACTTCTAATAATCTTCATAGGAAAATTATTAAATTGTAAGATGCTATTGACATTCTTTTGTTCTTTTTGTTTATCCTCTTCTGATGTGATAATCTTGTTAGCTCTTCTCAAAAGATTTAGAACTAGCGAGATCTTTGCACTGGATGGATGTGCTGAATTGAAGTCAATATAACTATTTGAGTATGTAGGTTTTCGGCAGATGGATAGATTTGGAATTCCATTTAGAGTTCTTTTCACTAAGCAATCTAAAAATGGTAGCTCATCATGTTCATTTTCAATCTCGTTCGTAAATTTGATGTGTGATGAAAATGTATTGATCTGTCTCGGAAAAGGAGGTAAAACCCGACTCACACGCCTTCATCGTGCCTTCTGGATAGTGGGACTCAGATTCATGAACTAATATGAGCGGTAACACGGGTGATAGAGATCGGGCTAATCACCCACTCGAACGATACTCAGAAACTGATTACAAAATCCACAAAGAATCACAGCGCAATTACTGCTTGATCGAAAAACGACAAAAAATTCAGTGGTGCATGTAATGTACATACGGGACAAACTTCAACCGATTGCAAAACAACTATTCTAACCCCGGTAGCTGTGTCGTGCATCGATGTTGCCTGTTTCTCTTCAGAAGGGCCTACTAGGCTTCACCAACTTGTTTTGGCTTTTTGGCTGTTTCGAAAAAGATTTTAGATGAGTCTTTTTTTATCGCAACAAAGGTATCATCTACATATCTAATCTAAATTCGTGGTTTAATATCATTGGTGAAAATATTCAATTCTATGTGTGCCATAAACAGGTTGTCTACAATCGGGGACACTGGGGATCTCATTGCTACACCGCTAGTTTGTTTGTATAAAGTCCCGTTAAAAGTAAATATGTCGAATTTAAGCAGTTTTAAGGTTTCATGATTAGACAAATTCTTAAAGGACATCTGTCAGAAAGACTATTGTTGTTCTCTAGTAAACCAGTAATGAATTCTAAGCATTTATCAATAGGAATACTAGGGTATAATGAAACATCATAGCTTACCATGATTTCATTCTTTTCGATAATTAATTTGGATATTTTTGATTTAAATTCATATGAATCCTTAATCATATTATGTAAGTTAAGTTGTAGTGGACAACTAATCGGACAACTACCGGAAAAAGAGTCATATTTTCTACGTCAGAAGACATCCCATATTTTGACTAAACAAAAACACTTTACGCCTAACATTTCAAAAGAAGAATTGAAGGCTCTACATTCGCTTCAAAAAGACAAAACGATTATAATCACAAAAGCTGACAAAGGTAACACAACAGTGGGCATGGATATAAAGGATTATATTAATAAAGCTCTTGAACATCTCTCTACGGGACCATATGAAAAGATCGATGCAAAAAATTCTCTAACGATTAAAAATAAAGTCAAATCAGAGACAAGTCAACTTTTGAAGGAATTAAAACCAATCATTTGTGTCTCGCTATGGTTTGCTCTATATTCCAAATCATGCAATACTTCACGTTTTTATGGTTTACCTAAAATTCATAAACCAGACACCCCTCTAAGACCTATAATAGACTTCACGAACACACCGACATATGCATTATTGAAATATCTGAGCAGCATATTAAAGCCACTATTGTTATTATTAGGAAAGATTTCAGTGATCTTATTGTTTATATTATTGGTTGCAATTTGATCAGTCCTTAATGATATATGTTTGAACTGCTTGAAGATAACCATTATGATATAAGTTGTATAGAATAGATAAATTAAGGTTAACAGTGGAAACCAGAACCCGATATTCTGTTCTACTTTGGACTATTTAGCTCGATGTACCTACATCCTAATATTGATCAGTCTTTGCCGGAAATGCGTTTCTTGAATTTCACTCCTATCCACAATCTATTTATTGTATATACTTACGCCTGTTACTCTTCATGGAGGAGCATAGGCCACCCACCAGCATAATCGCTATATCGAGTCAATAAAAGCAGAATACACGTATACAAATAAAGAATGGTCAAATTTCGGTTAATAATATAGACATTGGGATTACTCGATCGTTTTTTAATAATCATACAAACGTCGTATTCATTGAATGAGTTAGTGCCTATCTGGTCTCCATAGATCAATGGATAATGCTTAGAGTATTTGAAGAGAAAGTTACTGGGTTTCGGCGTGAACACCAATATTGGGATGTAGCCACACTTAGGTGACGAGTCTCAAATAGGACGGAAGGTGAGTCTTAAATTCTACAGCTAGCCAGAACGCTTCTATTCTACATAAATATTATTCGATAAAACTAGAGTCATCTTGAGCACAACAGAGTGTTGTTACACCGGAAAAAACATGTGTAAATACCAATTTCCAGTTTATTGACCGTATTTAATTTAAAAGTATATAACAAGGTCCTAGAGATCATTGGCTGTCGATCTTACATTTGCATATTGCACAAGCTTAATTCATCTGATAACTGGGAAAAAATTGTTTGTAGATCTGAGAAGTAAGAAAAACACTTTGTTCTACATTTCCTCTCATTTCAGTAATTTTTCTGAATATTTATCAAAATGCAGATATTTATTATAATGATACTGGTTATTCTGTTATTGTTGAGTCGGATTTCCGAAAACTGCAACGGAGCCTCCAAAGGCCCTAAAGGAGCCGAAGAGTCCTAGCCAATCAGAGCACGATGGAGCTTTCCAGAATATCAACGTGGCGTGCTACTATTGGCCAGTAGCATAATATGTCTTTTAGCGGATTGGGCAAAATATGATGTTGATTTAACAAATGTTAACATCTATAAATACCCGTGTTTTTCTGTACAAAAATGAACCTTTGGAGTAAAGTGCTTTTCGCTTATTTTGCACCTTTTCCCTCGAGTTCAGGTCGCTGCGTAGTTCTAGCTTGCGGGTTACCAGAATAACTTAGGAACAGAATAAAGCGTTCAAATTTACAAGACTTATCAATTATTAAGTTATTCAAAATAGAATATCTATGACAAACGAAATGAAAAGAATACAGATATCGGGTCATCTGATATTTCCAAATCCATACACATCAATTCTTCAATCAAAGCGTAATCAATTTTACAGTGTCACATAATAGTGGTTGCAAATTATTATCAATGAAAAGATAGTTGGTGAAAGATGTTGACAACACAAGCTTAGTGATTACATCATATGATAAAGAATGTAAATAACTTAGATATGAGTGATTCAGTAATTGATATAAATCAGTACTTGAAATCTTTGTTTGTTCACACATAGTCAATCTTAGACACTACATAACAAGATATCTATATTCATTTATGTCTAATATTGTATCTATTCTAAATGTAATGTTTTCAAATTAATAATAACAAGCAAACTGATAAATAATATCAGAATTATAATTTGTTGATTGTATAGTTGAGATTAAACAAAAGTTAATTATAATAGTTGAGATTATGAGTCAATTGAAGCTAGACCACCATGGAAAACCTGAAAGTACTGGACGACTGTCTCGTCCTATTGTAGGACTCTTCCTGGGTTCAAATCTCGCGAGGTGGGATCGTGGATATGCATTCCTGATGAATCCCGCAATAGGACGAAACGGCCGTTCAATGCTTTCAAATTCTTCATGGTGGTCTATCGTCAATTGACTTATGATCTCACCTATTAAAATTACTATAATATCCACAAAAAACCCCTTCCGATACTAAAATTTAATTAAACAGATAAATATTATTCATTAAAATTAACTTTTAAATAACAAAGAATGTGTTGTTTAAATAAAGTCAAAAAAAGAATGAACCATTTCATACTCCAAACATTTCCATGTGTTTTAATCACTTAGAATAACTTTCAGTATAGAATATTGGAGTTTTTAGTCTTCTTCTAATAAGAACTTTGTTTATTACTTTGAATAAATCAGTTAATATGAAGAGAAAGAAGTGTTCAATTCTAAAATGATGAGATTTATGAGTGACTAAGTTATACGGGATGATTATCGCTACTATGCTGAAATTACACATTACTACACCATGATATAATTTGAAGGATGTTGCAATTGTCAATAACTAATCTTTGAGATACAATAATAACTAAACATTGAACACCAAACATAGATCAGAAACGAATATACAGAAACATTCTTCATGCAACTTGTTGCGACTTTATGTCCGGCTTTTTATCACGTGATTTAGCCACCAATCAAAATACGACTTGTCCAATCTTAGCACTGTGCCAAACCAATGACGTCCGACCGGTATGAACAGCCTAACGTCCTTATTGGTCCTATGTCCGCCCACTTGAGCTCGGAATACAATACCAGCTTCTGCAATATGAATCATTTATTTCTAACATACTCGGTTTATATATCAACCAGACAGACCACAACGTACCATAAAATAGAAAATAACATTTGTACAATATTTGGCCAAATGTGGCTGTGAACGTGGGAGGCAGTAGTCAATAAACTGAACATAGCGAAAGAAGATATGGAATGTGAATATTGCTTATTAAATGGATTAGTATGGGTATTTTGAGTGAGTGTTTATAAAATGCTTTTTAATGGAGTTTTTATAAATTACTTACTAATTTAATAATTGTTCCTACATATTATATCATTCGTAACAGTCAAATAACTGTATAGATGATACTAATCCGTTTAGTATCGAAAGTGTCCTACTTGAGCGCCAACCAAGGGTTATAAGTTATAATGCAACATGGTTTGGTGTTGTAATTATACAACCACATCAACTATGAATTTGAGTAACAGATAGTACTTATAGCAAAAAAACTTTTGATATTCCGATAATACATGTAGGAACATGGGAGTTCTCATGAGCCATCAATCGTACGAAACAAGTACACTGACAGAATCAGTGATTTTATTGTAAATAGCTTAAGCGAAACTCAACATATAACTTTGACTAGTACATAATTTCAAAGTATGATCCTGTCCAACAATTCAAAAATGTATGGTGTTCGTTGACCTACAATACAAGTGGACGTGTTGAATTATTCAATAACAATTTGGATTTCGCTGCTAACAACCCTCTATGTTTGCTTAAAAATGCTTGTGACTTAGTGGCAATATCAAGGCAATTCGTACAGGATGTACATGCGCCTATAAGAGATTGATCAACTTTAGTCCTAAAGTATCAGTTAGAAGATCTACACGACCAATATATATGGATTAAAATTCACTCCACTGCAAAAGCCAGTAGCCATCTGGATTCAGTAGCTAAGTGGATAACGTGATGATGGGGTTTGAAGGGAACGATACGGGGTTCAAGTATCGTAGTAAATATCAGTTCTGAGATGCAGTTGACGTATCCCAGATAGGACGAGAAGTGCGTCTTGGATTCCGCTGTCAGTCACCATCCAACTCTGTTTAAATTTGATAACAAACATTTGAAACACAATTCACTAAATACGGCTAAACATGATCAAGTTCCAATGACAAACTACCAGACAACTACTCTAACTAGACAATACTAATCGTCAGTACATTATGCATTGTATATTTATGTATAAGCAAACAAAAAACAATATAAAAAATGAAATTACTGTTACATGATACAGAAATAAACTAAAATAACTTCTTTCTATCTTACCAAAGACAATGGATCCAGCTGTTGACATTCAATGGTTGAATGAAACTGTGAATTTCCATTAGGTGGCAAGTAAACGTCTAAACAACCAAGTCCATGGAGTAAAAACAACGTCTAAATTATATAATATACAAACATACAAACAAATGTATGCCTACATAAATACACAGTATACTAGGCATGAATAAAGAACATTAGTTCAGTTTTTCAGCTCTACATTTCTCATATAAGCAATGATTTTTTGTAAATAAATAGTAAGCTTTAGAAGTTTCTATTCAAAAGGAGGTTGGTCTTGGCGCGTTGACTAAGAGACTAACATTGTATTAACCTTTCCTCAATGTAAATTTAATTATAACGTATAAAATTAAGCAACAAACCCAGAAAATCTGCCTCCGACAACAGATTTTTATTATTTACCTTCTAATTGCATGCACTTGGAGTAGTGCAAGAGCTTGAAGAAGTCACCAGGTACCATATGGTTGTATCTACATATGTTCCTTCATTCACTTATGAATAAGTCAGTCAGTAACAACGTAGAACTTCGTACGTACGTACATCAGTTCGAGTTGCCACACCACATTAGCACAGAGATGCAGTGGTCGATTCAAATCCCGTAGTGGTAGAGGTAAGAGTAGGAGTATAAGCAGTAATCGGGAAGATTAGTGTTTGGAGATGTTACTTAAAGAGTATAATACAGTGAAATAAATTTGGGAAGAGAAAAAAAAAGACAAGGAGGAATAAGGAGATCAAAATTTGGGAGAACACAAAGAGTGTATGCACCTGAGCCATTGCAAACGATTTTGAGCCATGTCATTCGGGGTCTCTAACCATCGGTTGCTATCATCTCGCAGTCCCCAACCAGGTAGTCTACACCTACCAACATGACTCAGTCTACTTGTCAGTGACTTCATGGACTTGTGCCATGTTTTGGTCTGGCCGCCCCTAGCTTTCTTCCAACCTATTCCTATACCACTGAACATCGCACATCGAGGAAGTCGGTCGTTGGGCATACGTAACACGTGTCCCAGCCATCTCAACTGATGAAGTTTCACTACGAATAAAACCTTCTTTAGCTAAGTAAACTATTTACATCGGCTGCCAAGTAGCATCACAATCCGCCAAATAAAATAGCTACAATTCTCAATAAAAGAAATCATCCATTTAGTGTTTAGATAACTATGATCTAATCAACAAAGCAACCATAACGACATGAGTAAAGCTTAACTACTAACCTCATGTAAAAAAAGTATTCAAGAATAACCGATTATACATGAAGTAACTAAAACATACTTCTACATCATTCAATATTAAATGTGTAACGTCCGTTTCGTTGGAAATATTTTCATCTGTTTTTTCAATACCTTCTGAAATACAAAAATCATAAATTGAATTCTCTGCATCTGACGTATCCCCGCCGTCATCGTCATTATCATCATTGTCGTCATCATCTGTACTGTATTCTCTATATAAAAGAAAGAAAGAAATATTAATATACATTCAAAATCTACTTTAATTATATACAACTAATAGATATTCCAGTTTCTATTAAACACAACAATTATTTAACAATATAATTATTGAAGATGCCACAGGTATTTGGAGTTTGACAACGTTTGAACCAGTAACACCTTCTACTATGAGTCGTACCCACCAAGTGAAGTCAAAAGACAGAGGCGAGGAGGTTCAAAGATATATTTGATAGGCTACCAATATATCAGGGATCGACTGATCTAGTCTGGCTAGCGATTGCAGGGGTTGTTGAACACGGTGTTCCACTTCGTGATCTGGTGCAGATGCATGACCGAGCGCCTTCAGCTAGGTGAGTCCATTAAGATTAATGTGGTCAGAACCCAATGTCTAAAACTTACAGAGGTATTTATTTTGGAGATTTATTTACTGCTACATTATGATCAGGCAGTAAATTTGTCAACCAGATCATTAATAATTGGAATATTTAATTATTTTCAATGAATAAAGTAAATCTAGTTCCCCTAATCTATTTTTATTATTCATCAAGAAAAATTCGTTGTAACGTTAGGAATGAGAATAATTGGCTGGATAATTTTTATGTTGCTTAATGGTCGATGTATTTATATAACCCCTAGAACAGCACGGAATCAGTGGGCTCAGTTGGCTTTTACTAACTGCGTTACATGTGGTGCAAGTAGGATATATGTCTATCAACGAAGGGAGAAAAGTGCTAAAAATTGGTCTTTGAACTAATCTGTGGATGTAAAACAAGGGTTAGGAAAGTAGAAGATATAGGTAGGTTATAAGTTTTTGATTGCAGATAATTTCGAAGCATTGATCGAGTATATTAGAACGGTGGAGTAAGCAATGTGGATATTAGGCGAATCGGCAAGTATAGTTATGAATGTACATCAACGAAAGTGGTTAGGACGTGTTGAATATCCTAAATCATTACCTACCTAAATGTTTAATACTGGCTGCAGTAGAAGTTGGTAAAAAAAATAAATAGACCCAAATCAAGATGTAGAATCGGTCTGTTGAACCACTAACAGCTTGTCTGTCTCAATTTGGTATGCGGAGATTACTTGATTAGGGCCAAAGCCTAAACCATGATCAAAGGTTGATGTTGGATGATATGCTTACTTACTTATGCTTGTTACCCCTCGTGGAGGAGCTTAAGCCGTCCACCAGCACTCTTTATCCAACCCTGTCCTGGGCATTGGATGATATTAGTTTAGAATTATTTATATTGGTAGTGGTAGTATCAGTGACAGTGAAAAAGACTAGATATAGAGAACAACAATTAAGAAAAAAATATTTCATTTATAGAATGAAAAGTTCAATATAATGTTGTGGTTTGTGACTGATTACCAAACGAAGATAAACAGACCCATTCTATAATTTGTAATATAAACGCCTACCGTTATATCACTACTGCGATTTCTGCTCTGTTTCATTGTGTGGGATCTTTATAAATGTATCAGTAAAACTAGTGTCTGATTCAGATATTGGAATATTTGTGCCTAACATGATCAAGTCTAGTGTTAGTATTATCTAGTATGCCGATCGAGTACCAAATCTAGTGTTGTAGTATTATTGTACATCGTATAGAAGACAAATCCCTATATCAATTTTGCCATAGAAATAAGTAATATCAGTAATATTGTTCTTCACTTACTTAGGTATACTGTTGGTTTTATTGCGAAGATTAAAATCATTATTCTGACTGAAACCGTAACAACCCTAGAAACGAAGAGATAAGAATTTAAACACTTACAATGTTTACGCGTATGAAACAACCAGAATCACGTTGAAATGTCATGAAAGTTGAGGTACATTCAATCGAATTCTATGAAACATAACTCTACCAGCCTTACTGAATTATTCCGTTTTTTATAGACTGGAAAAATGCTTCATTGATCGAGATTGAGATAGGTTATGATTCGGCATAGGTAATGTCCTAGACGCTTCAATCAACGAAAATCAAGTACACAATCAACCAATTGGCCATTTTTAACCTAGTATCCTGCAATTAATTTCATTTTTCTATACAGAAAGATATTGTGCTTTGAATTATCTTGTATCGGAACCGTGTAAGATTAATTGTAAGCTCACTAAATAGTTAACAGTTCACTAATTTTGAGTCAGCTAGTTCAAAACCGTACGCGCAAAGACCTTGACCATACAATGAAAATGTTCAAAGAGTTTCGGTTTTGAGCAGTTATCTAGAGTAAAACGTCATTATGGTACTAAGACTCCCAATTAACAGTCATTCATAATCAACACAGGTCCTCGCAAAAATATGGATCGGCCCAAGTTTTTATACAGCATCATGAAAATAAGGTTAAATTTATATGACGATTAGCAAAGTGGTCAAAATAAATGATAGTAGAAATTGTACTGCACATTAAAAGTAATGATCCAAAGAGAAAGAATGGAATGAGTATGCAATAGAATGGCAAAATTTAAACCACCGAGAACATACACAATAATGTGATCGATCATTTGAACCACCTAGCAGGTGTAACTAATTTACACCTTCCTAACAAGCAACATATTAGGTGTCATAAACATCATGAACTGATGTTATCAAACCATAGCAACTATGATTGGTAGAATACTAGTACAATTCATTTGATTCAAACAGTTAATGACATAAATTATAACAAATATGTTGTGTAGTATATCATTTCAAGAAAACAAAAAAAAAAAACACAAGACGTTGTCCTCTATTACTATGATATACATTTAAAGATAAATTAATAACTTACACATTTGATACCTTAAATATACACCATACATGAATAAAGCTACATAAAGTTAATACACACAACTATCATCCCAATATAGCATACATTCTACAAAATGATCAATAGAATAACTTTTTCTCCACAAAGAAAAACCACAGTTTTGTTTTAATGTATCACGTGTGTATAAATAATTCAGCATACATAGAAATATACAGTTATTCTATGATAGTAGGTCACTAGTAACTAATAGTCGTAATGATAATAATAATAATAGAATCGCAAGATTTGGAATTTAGAAAATGTTAGTTTGTTTTAAAATAAAGAAATACATAATAAAATGGATCTATCAAAGATCAAAGTGTTATAATCTAACTGATTTTGATATTTAGTTTAGTTTAGTTTAAAAAGATAGAAATAATTTCTGTCAATTATTAATTTGAAATTCTTAGAGTAATTATGATTATAAATACTTGTTAACTTAAATAGTATTAATATCAGATTGGTTTTGTGGATATTATAGTAATTTCAATGGTTAAGATCATGAGTCAGTTAAAGCTAGATCACCATGGAAAACCTGGAAACAATGGACGGCCGTTTCGTCCTATTGTGGGACTCCTCAGCAGTGGGCATCCACGACCCCGCCCCCCTGCGAGATTCGAACCTAGGACCTACTGGTTTCGCGGGCGAGCACTTAACCACTAGACCACTGAGCCGGCATCCAACAGTGTTAATGTCTAACTCCAACTAATCCACGAAATTGAGCGACATATCCACCATTGTCTAGTAGTAGTAATGATAATAATAGTAGTAATAATAATAATGATAGTAATAATAGCAGTAGTAGTAAGTTGAGTTAAAAAGAAACAAATGGGGAACATACTAGTTATTTATTTATGTTAAATATTATTATTGAGTAACCAATAATCAGCTAAGAAAAAACATTCACGATGCAGAATATCACATTATATTCATGATTATCCTGTAATTAATTAACACCTATACAACTGAATACCTGATGATCGATAATAACTTGGAATCTTGATAACAAAGAGAGGTCACTAACTAGTTATTTTCTAAGAATAATACTGGTAATGATCATGTATGTATTGGTGACTAATTTCAAGAGGAAGTTCTTTGAGTTCTAATGAGACGAAGCGATGATGTCAAGAATGAAGCAGTTACTCACAAACAGTATTAAAACATGTTTGTGCAATATTACATGAATGATTGCAGTTATAAATGTAAACTATTGGATACCAATTCAATGGTCAAGACTTGAAGGCGGTAAGCTCTGGCCTCAGTAATGTCGTGGATGAACAATGTTGAGAATTTTCACACCAGGACGAAGCACTAATCTAGCGCTCCCTTGATATAAGCAATTATTTAACTCTAAAATAAATCCATGATGTGAACTGACATATTCAACAGCCTCCACCAACCTCATAACTTATAGTTCAGAATGATTATTTCTAAAAAGAATCTTATTCATCAGTATGGTGAGATGTGACAAGAATTTCTTTGTAAATATATCCTTGTCTAACTAACATGTCCATTTCCAAACCGTAATTATGATTCTAATAAAAATGTATTGGAGTAAATACAAGAATCCTATTTATTGGTTTAGTATCAATAAGTAGAACGATGATGATATCACAAACTGATATACAGAAGGAGTTACCGAAAGATCATGAAATACTGGCAATCTCATTTGCTTCATTTTAGGACCTAACAAACAGCGCACAAACCAACGACTTTAAGTGAATATCTTAAGATTTTATTTTACTTAGTTGGACACAAACATTGGTATAAGGAAGCACCAAATATATATGTGACACACGAATCATTCAATTTGTGTGAGGGTTAAAATACTGTCCGGGTGCCCAAACCAAAACACGTGGTTTTCTTAGGTGGCCACTACCCGAGCCTTTGACCTAGAGGTCTAATCCATAAGACATTGGAGCAACATTAGGAAATTCAGGCCCGTGGTAACCGGTGATCAACAATACGTACACATACCTTTTCTTCCCTCGTTACCCTGTAGCACATGTGCACCATTTGTTTGGAATGAGAGTTTTTCAATTCCTCGTGGCTGACTCTTCATATCCATCAACCCGGCTAAAGCTCCAGACATTCGCTTTTCGTCCTCTTAATTTCATGAACAACCCCCCACCACGCGAATGCAGTCGGTAGGACTTCTGTGGTGCTGGCTATATACGCGTGGCCTTGTGAGAGCATTTCCAGAAGGAGAGCTGACTCTCCCTACTCTCGACCGTACCAGGACATTTGGGGGCCCATAATAACAATAAGAAATGAGGATTGTGAACCGCCTGGAGGGGCCATATCTAAAGATAGTATATGTAGTGCCACGAGCCTTGAATTCCATTTGTAGGAAAAGTCTGCAGTCCTTACTTCTAAGAACTGTCAAACTTTTACAGTGTGCGTCATTATACTCAATGATCATTCAGTTAGTAACAGTTTATCAGTCATAAAAAACCCTAGGACCGAACATACATATTTATCGGTTCAGGTTGCCATGCTACATTAGTACAGTGGATGAAATTGTCAGAAATGCCAGAATAGTAGTAGTCAAAGATCAGATTACTTAATGTGGTGAAATGTACCCTACTAAACAAAATCAAAAATATCTATACCTCACTCAGATTATATTTCATTAACTGCTCTTGAGGTATGACAATAATATGGAGATCAGAAAACATTCACGAATCCCATTTATCCATGATGCACCAGCGTGTATAAGTAAAAGATAGTCATAGTAAAACTGCATACAAGACAGTATGATTTTGTATAAAATGTACTTACTCTTTTTCGAAGTATCTTGATTTGTTCCAAATCAGTGATTAATGTCTTAGCACCATTTAATAAAACCGCTTGAAATGTAAACTGTTCACAACTGTTTATACCATCATGATCAGAATTGAATTCCGTGAAATCTTCTTTAAACAATATTGGAAATGGTAAAGTACTACTGCTATTACTATTACTACCCGACAGGAAACATGACGATGTTGTCGATAATGATGACTTTGGTAATTGCACGGGCTTTTTCACTTTCGAACGACCTAGAAATACCTCCATTTAGCTGATTTATCTTAAGAGAATAATATTAATAAAAGACAGGTATGAATAAGTATTTAAACTAAGTATCAGAGAAAGATTCAAGAGGAAATATTAGGGGAAAAAATACTTATAATAAAAGACTTACACTTAAGATGCTTTAAAAGCTACCACATCTGATAATAGTGGATTAATTTATGATAAAGTAAATACAATTATATTTTAAAAACAAATCATTGAGTACCGACCTCTATCAGATAACCTGTTACTTAATGTTACTCCCATCCCCCCAGTAACTATTTAAGATCAAGCATACGACAATGTGATATCAAGTTATTCTGAGTGGTGACGTTGAAACTTAAATGATAGAATTTGATCAATCTGAAGGGATAAACAACATGAATGATGGCACGCAGAGAAATATAAAATATCAACCGAAGGCCTTCTATAGAATCGAACATGAAACTCTCATGTTGATAAAGATAGCATTAAGCAACTGAATTTGAATTCAATGGCCCAGATGTTCAACTTCATCAACGATCACTATCCATTATAGTCATTGCGTTAACACCATCTAATTTTCGCGAATATTTTGATTGTGCCCGGTAAAAAGGGCTATTTATTGCAATTTCGTGAAATTCATCTTGAATCTCGCTAACAATAGGTACGCGATAATAATGAAGCAACTTGATTCCATGAAAACTTTGTATATACATTGAAGATAATTATGATCTGAGATCATAGAAAGTTGAACTGGTCAAAATAAAAACAGCGATGTGATGCCTTACACAAAAACATATAATCTTCGGTTGCGTAGCTTCTAATAAATAACACATTAAGAATTAACTGGAGTTGGAAATGCAAATAATTGTACCCGCTCTCAGTGGTTTATAGGTTAGGGTGTTCGGTTATAAGACCTGAAAGACATAAGATCGATACCTGATAGGGTTGTCAATGCACATTTCGCAGGAGTTCTATACTAAGACGAAGTAGATGACCAGTATTCCTTCGGTTTTAATGGCTAACTAAAATCAGTACGTTATTTGAAATGTCCAAAAAAACAGACTTAGCAATAAAGAATGTCGACAAAAATAGTATTCCTCAAAGCCAACAGAATTGAGTTCGATACGAGTTATTAGTACGTCTTCAGTTCTGCTCAAAATATCATATCCAAATAATTTATGAACTACGATTAGATGGTTCTGTTTATTGGCACAATCATGAGATTTACACAGCTGACTAGCATTTCCTTAATTTTCTGATTTTAACTTCACAGAGACAAACATTTCGATTGACTTTATGATGCTAACTAATAACAGATCGATGCAGGTTGTTAAGTAGAATCGGAAGTGATCGGCAAGAAGCCCTGGTACTCGTAAGGCGTTTCTGCAATCTTGAGGGGACTGGTGCTCTCTATCTGACTCAGACTTTAATCAACCAACTTCAGAGTCGAAGATGTTACCCTTATGATGTTAGGATCGCAAATGACCACTTGTAAGATTGAGATATTTACATTGACTAACCTGTTAGTAATGATCAATGTCATATATGCCTAATGTGATGAAGAATCCTATCGATTAAGTTGCAGTGATATGAATTAACAAATAAGGTACGATCAAAACCCATAAAAAATGACAATAATTATTTTAACTCGAGTATTAGAACACTCACAATAAATCATAGTTGTTAACCAATTCAGATTATTACTCAAAATAAAAATAACGATATGTAATAATATAAATATATGCTAAATTGTTTAGGCAATCATTCAAATACGTGGTAACACATACACAACAAACTTAAGGTCAGAATAGTGTTTACTAAATCATAATATAAATGCTATAATTGCAATTAACAATTCAATTTGATAACAAATATTGAAGAGAAGTTTGTTATTTATGACAACAGATATTACTGAAGTGATGTGATGTTTATGTGTAGAAAACTGAGTAGCAAATACGTGGGATCGTTATTGAAGTAAAATTGATTTCTATGCCACTGAAGGTATATGTGTACATACCACCATAGTACAGTTATAAGGAAGTAATCCTAGCTTGATCGAAAAGGATTAAAAGTTCCACTGAGGTGGTAAACTGAGTACTAAATTCCAAAGAGAAGTTTTCATTGGTGAAATAACGCAAACTATGATTTCAACCTTAATGTTTCGTAATACGCAGAATGATTGAAAAGGGATTAACCAAAAAACCTTATTATGTTAATAAATAAAATTAATGGTAGAATTTATTCACAGTGAACAAGTTTATGCACTCCGCTTTGAACTACACTGTTTGTTTGAATGTTACCCAAATCGAAGAACAACAAGAGAGGATCAACCTTTTTTTTTTAGTTTTACACACCTTGAATTCTTTCTCAATCAAGCTATGTATAATACACTTCTGAAAAAATAAATGAATTAATGCACTGTGAAATTTGTCTAGTCACTTCTATAATTAATTAGGTATTTATTATTGACTCAGCAAATTTGTACTGTAATTTTTTATTCAAATTACTGTAAGCCTGAAAACAGAGTTGAGTTCAATAACAGATCGATGATATTTTGAGAACAAATAAGAGGTCGAATAAATAATACCCGGAAATCCATTTGTTGAAGGATAAAAGAGGATAGAAGTATATTACATATTTCTTAAATACACGCATGAATGCTGCAGTATTCATTTGACTATATTTATCTTTGACTGTTATCCAAACATTTTCCCATGCCAACAATTGCCTTGGTACTGGCCCAGGGTGAAGTGTCAGCTCACTCTCTCTACATGCTCTCTCAGGGCCACGCGTATACAGCAACTGTCAGGGAAGTTCTACTCACTGTCTTTCCGTGATGGGGTCGTTCCCTAAAGTAGAAGAACGAAAAACGAATGTCCGGAACTTTAATCAGGTTGGTAGGTACAGAAAATCCACCCAAGCGAGTTAGGAAACCCTGATCCAAAACAAATGGTGCACATGCGCTTCAAAATCCTAAGGGAACAAAAGGTGTATAAATCTATTGTTGTTCACTGACTACTATGGTAATGGATCTCCTAATGTTGCTCCACTGTCTTGTGGATTAGACATTTGGGTCAAAGGCTCTGGGAGTGGCTCCTTAAGGAAACCACGTGCTTTGGTTTGGGCACCAGGATAGTATTCTAAACCTCACACAAATCGAATGATTTATGCGTAGTATGACTCCTCAGAAGTACATATGTATATCCAGATAGAAGATTAGACCAAAAACACCAGCTGTCGCTGCTAAACCATGTATATGATGTAACTCATTGATTGTTAAGTAAAGATTTATGTGCATGACTACTTGTTATGTATGAGATCTATTAGCCGGAACTGAAGTAATGGAAACAAAGTTAAGACCCATAATTAAGAGATATTAATTAAAATGATTTGACCATTACGTCATCACTCTATACATTCGCGTTTATGAAATTTCGTTAAGTATTCATATAACTTGTTAATTATAATTTAATTTTAAATCACAAACTGAGCCGGCTATAGCTGTAGAACTAATGAAAATCTGAGAGCATTGGATAATTACTTTAACTTGATTTTCAGCTCGAAAGTATTAAACCCAATAAGAACTAAACTGAAAATCTCCAGCTATTGAGGTGAGACACAATACGTTCACATTAATAATTCTGAATCTAACTGATCTTACAATTCCTATACTATGATTTCTTGTTCAGATGGAATAAAACTATAGAAAGAAAAAACAACAATGATTGGAATAAGGCATAAAAATCAAACAATACTTTATATAATCATATGAATATACAAAAGACATAATTGAATTAGTCTAACCTTCGAATAATCTCTAGTCACATGAAAAGATAAATAATTAATTTATGCACAAGATTCATTACATAAATTGCCTAGCATTATGAACACATGAAAAAATGCTACACAAAAAATGAAAATGATTTCTATGGTTATTTAACAGTTAGAAACAAAATTTAAATATTCGTCATATGGTTTATATCATGAATTCAAAAAAAACACAACGTTAACATATCACTGAATAAAATAGATTTTAAGTATTCCAGAACTAGAAACATTTTATTTTCATATATCAGAAGGGTTTTGTAGATATTATAGTAATTTCAATGGTTGAGATCATGAGTCGATTGAAACCGACCGGCGGTCCAGTGCTTTCAAGTTTTCCATGGTTGTCTAGTTTCAATCGATTCATGATCTTAACCATTGAAATTTTATTTTCAATCAAATGTTAAGATAGAAACGGTAACCATAATAGGGTAACGAAAAAAAAGTAAACCTATCATTTTCATATGTGATTAGGATAATAGAGTTGAAAGTTAAACAAAATGGCTACAGAAACGAAAAGTCGCATTAGTAATTTAAGATATAATCACTTAACAAGTATGTATTCATTTATTTTTGTGTATCGTGTGTTGCATACTACCTAATTGAGTGTCAAAATAGAAACAGATAGAAGTACCTTAAAATATGTTATGTGACCATCTGTAATTTGGTAGACCTTATTGATTAAGGCATTCAACTTTTAGGTCCGAGTCTTAATTTGTCTACATTGGTTCGTGTAACCAAAAAGAATCATTAGACATAACTCAAAGTGTAATTCATAACAGAATACACGAACCTATTAATAAATCTGAATGCTTTTCATAGAATGTTTATAATGATATTGAACAGTTTAACTGTGGTTGAAACATTGATGTTGTTCAAAATCATCTAGTAAGAATGATTGAAGATGGAAAAAAAAACTCTATAACTGGATAAGAACCTTGTTTATCTTGTGCATTAGACAGATAACTGAGCTTATTTTTCATCAATAAACATCGAAACATTCACCGCATAAAATCCATCTATCACCACAAATATTTATCAATGGAAATAATCCATTATCATCAAACACCAACAAATAAAGATCCAGTAATTCATAAACACAGAGACATACAATCAAAACAAAAGACAAGAATCATATGAAAAGTATTCATTCTGTCATTATTAATCATGGTTATCATTATGAACACTTTTATTAATTAATATCCAACTGAACAATATCTTGTTATTAGTTTCATATTGAATTCTTTTCAACGTCTTTTTTGTTAGGCTGGATAAAAAAAGAATTGCCAATTATAAACAAAATAATAATAATAATAATAATTAGTTAACATTCTCAATATTATATTAAATATATCTTATCACAATACACAATTACAGTTAATCATTTCTCTTTTTGGCTTTACAAAATTCAGAATAAAATTGAACAATCTTTTCTTTTCTTTCCCTTTCAAGGTGAATTAAAATCCAAGTAACTACTACTGTATGCCCGACGTATGTATAGTTACACAGTACATTCATGAAAAGTAATTTTTTTCAAAAAAAAAACAAACAAAACAGATAATCGCTTAAAATCACAAAGGATCGAACTTTTTTTTTCCTGATGTCACTTAAAACTAGTAGATTAAAACAAAAAATGACAACTTTCTCGTTAGCTGACTTGCTCTTTCAGTCCCTCGTCATCTTTTTCAGAACAAAAAAGAATAAACAATTGTTCAAATTGGCACAGAAAAAACAACAAATTGTGCATATTAATAAGTAGAAAATTATTGACTATTCCATACTAAACAAAAGTAAATATATATTGGTCGTATTAATATTAATATTAATAATGATAATATGAAGAAACTCCATATACATTGATATTCAATTAGGCACTCTCAAATGATAAATAATCATTAAACAATTGTTTATATGTAATGAACAAGACAAGACAAAAAGAAAACTGATTGATGTAAGATTCAATTAAAGTGAGGGAAAAGCAATTTCATTTATTATTTAAAAATAAAAGAGGAGTTGGCATGTGATGAAAAATTCCTAGATGAAGCAACAACAAAAAAACACAATTTAATGCATGGAATTCACCATGAATGAAATCATTAAAGAAATTTTAGATCAAAGAAAACAAAAATGATAAATATGATTGGAACACACCTTGAAATCACTCAATTATGTGTATATGGTTGAGAAAGCACACACAACCATTTTATTTTCCACCTTGTCAATATACATATATATGAAATAATAAGAACAAACACACGTATACGCCTGTATACATTTAGCATGGGGATGTATGTTATTTGTTGTTTTTTTTTTAGCGCCAATCGATCTGCGTACACACACACGTAGAAAAGCACATGGAATGAGTGATTTTTGGATAAAACCAAACGAAAAATTTATTTTACTAAAACATAGAAACAAAATTTCTCTTCAATTTAAAAAAAAGAAAAACTCTCTCAATGAGTAAACCCTGGATAAAAGGGAATCTTTTTTCTTTAGAAAATTATTAATGAAATGTGACAACATTATCAAATTTGCATGTGAAAATTATCTGATAGGAAGTAAAGTAATAAGTAGTCCTTTTTAGAGAAGATAGAAGATAACACAGAAATGAAACATTGTCAGTAAAGATAATAAAAGAATTATTATTATTGATATGAGAATACAGGATAATGTGAATAAGTGTAAATGAAAAATGTTTATGTAGAAGGAATGATGGCAATATTCTATTGATCATTGAGCAATTAAATATTGTTCTAGTTAGGAATAGAAACAAAAACAACTGAATATCACAGATCTTCTGTAGATAAGAATTTTTTTATTAAAAAAACAAACAAAAATTTATTTCATTCTTATGGTACAATGGATTATAACCTCTAAACTTGTATTTAGTAGATGCGCTAAAGTGTAGATTTACCATTTAAGATAGTTACTGTATTTCACCAAAGCTGTTGAACAATAGTGAATGGATATGTGTTAATCAATGCGCTTGTCTGTGTTCATATGTTTTTTGTCACATCTATAGCCTCGATATTGTTTAAATAAAATAAACATAGTAATATTTGGAAGCAGAATAATAGGAATAACAATAATAATAATAGTCAGTAACAATAATAGTAATAATGTTGAAAGACATTTCAACCTGAAATGTTTTTTTTACTTTGCGTACAGCATATACATATAGACCTAAGTACAAAATCACCTCCGCTTACGTCAAGAAAACAATAATAAATAGAGAAAATAATCATACAAATGAGCAAATAGGATCATTCAAGCACATACAAACACACACAAAAGTATTTTCCATTACAAGGTCAAGGTGATTCAATTATCTAAAACAAAATCAAAGTAAAGCTCGGGGAGTGTAATAATCCAATTCATTCAAATTATTATTTATTTTTCTATGGATTAGTTGTTTACCACCATCCTCCTCCACCAAAATTAGCACTGTTTCCATTTGTTTGTAATTGATTATTTGTCGGTGGAATGATATTTCCTAAACGAGCATTCATTCCTAGAGAGGAGATTTTCGACAAAAATGATTGGGGTTCAATAGTACTTTCATGTCGTACATTGTCAAATGGATTGGCATTGTTCATCATACCAGTATTATTACGCACACTAAGACCAATAACACTATCGACTCTGCTACTTCCAATACCCATGTAACCATTGGTTTCACGAGGCAATTCAAGATATTGTGTAAGATTGTCTTCTAATAGACGATTGCGTAATGTTGCCAAAGTCATACGAACTTCATTTAATTCTCGTTCAGATTCATGTGAATGACCAGTCAATCGATCATTTTCTATTTGTAAACGAGTAATCTCTGTTCGAGCAGCTATATAAGCAGAGTAGAAAAAGTATAATAATTGATTTTTAAAAAAAGACGAGGAACAATGAAATCAAATAACATTAAGTTAGAAAGTTTAATACAAAATGTAAACTACCGGAAATCACATGTGTGTAAAGTTTTTGCATTTGATCGAACTCTCTGTGTTAATTGAATCATTTAAGGTATTGACATAAAATACAACTACAACCCGGTTAATAAGAATGTACAACTTAATACTAACTATTCAGTTCAGTGAATAAGTGATTACATGATCATAGAAATAAAAAGCTCTCTCTAGGAAATTTAACGTACATTAAGTACGATTCCCATTTGCTATGGCAGTATACACATGTATATTTTAACACTGTTTAAAATATCTGAATTCAAACCGCTCAACAATCTTATCACTTTATGTTTTACGGAAAAAATTTTAAACATGTTTTGTTAAGATTGTGTCAACAGACATTTACACAGTGAATTGGGAAACAGAATGTACAAGGGAGTGTAAACGTTCAATTTTATCATGAAAACAGATCAACAGCCATTCTTATATTGCATCATGCTTGTAATCTTCATGCTCCATCCACTGTTCATAGCCAAGGTTGTCAAAGTATCTAAAGACTATTTTTCTTCGTTACAGCTACAAAAATTATTACGCGATAGAACAAATAGTAATGTACAGTTGAAAGGTACCATTACAAACTATGCGCGAAACTATGTGCTCCATATTCATTGAACAATAAAGAACCATTAAAAACTCGACCCGTTTTGATTGGTGCAATATTCCAGTCATTTGATATTGGGGAAGCACCACTCGATAAAGCCCATATACTAATTTGGATTAGAAATCCACTTTCCGAGGCCCACGAACCCACTACACGGAAATCGTTGGACCCTCCGGGACTTGGCGCGCCGGAGACGCAACAGGGGTAAGTATAGCCTACATGGATACTGGTCACACACGTTTTCATTCATGCATCCCAAAGGATTCATACAGGCATATTCACTCACCTGGAAGAATAGATGGTCACCCCTCCCTTCAAACGTATTTGTTACAAATGACTGTCTTTTGACTATTATATGCGTACCGCTGGTACAACGAATTTCGTCCATGCATGTCACGATATAATCGTAATCATAAGAATTCCTCTCAGAGAGGGTTAATGATCACCTCTCCCTAGATTCTGCTACTATATCGTTTTACTTTGTCTTCGATCTAATGAATACATTAACACCTAATACTTTGTAACTTATGAGTGTATCAACTTGAATTAACGCATATCAGAGAGTAGACGAATTCAGTTACAAAATTATTGCCTTAATTATCTCCAAAGTGATAGCAAGAAAAATGTAATTAAAAGCTAAAAAGAAAAATATGATAAAATATGAACGTACTTTGTAACGATTTTAGTAAATGTGTCACATATTCAGCTGTTTCACGCTTTGTCATATCTGAAATGCGAATGATAATAAACAGGAATGTTAATAATTGATTGACTAGAACCTTGAAACGATTAGTAAGATCCTGATACAAATAGTTTTACTGCGCCTCAATGGACAATGTTAGCTAGTACAGGGGAATGCTGAAAGTAAGCTAGGGGTGGCCAAAACAAACATAGAATCAGTCATTTGACTTGGTCTGAGTCATGTTGATAGATCCAGATTGCGTAGTTGGAGTTCGCATGATAACTCCGACAAATGGTTGGTGAGGTTGGGTAATATGGCTTAGAATCTATCATAATGGCCCAGACACATTCATTCACTCATCATCTTTCTCTAGATCTTTAGTTTCATTATTTCTCCATTTTACCTATTGAAACCATAATATCAATATTTAGTCTTTTTCATTATAAGGTAATACGCTGATTATGATTGGCTGACCTCATGTTCAAATGCATCCGTTCCAATCAAATTACCACTAAGAGAGAAAGGACTTAAAACGAATAAAAGTTGACTGCATTTTCCACATCTTATATCACCACAATGAAAGAAATAACGATAGATAGAGAAGAGTGAAATTACCAATTTTAGAAGAAATAAAACATAAGAAACAATACTGAACTAAAAATTTAGAGGAAAATGGAAACGGATCTATGAATGCGTGATTTATATCATCACTCACTTATTCACCATGTACAGATTCATATAATGGGCTATGGGCTACAATCTACATGTGAAGGATGCTAATGCTGTCCGGTTGCTCAAACTGAAGTCAGTATTTTAAAGTTCGAATGTCAAACTATCTGACCAATATATCACCATATCACCTATTGCATAGACTTGCCTTACAACATACTTCAATCTACGAAATGAATTCAATTTTTTCTTTGAAAAAAAGTGCTTAAAAAGGAAACCAATAATGAACTAAAGTCGATCGTTTAATCAACATTAAGGTAGGCAGTGTTAAACAAAAAAAGTTACCTTCAATAGGTTTACTAGGTCGATCATCAGGTTGAGCACCGAATGCTGAAGTATGAAAACTACCAGGTGACTCAAAAGGTGCAGCTGAAACTTCACCAACTCCATCAGTTCGCTGTTGAATAGGTGTTGCAACACCTATTAAAAATGTATGACAAAAATTGGGGAGTGTGGTAAATGGACGTAATAATCAATAAACCAGTGATAATAAAAATTGTTATTATTACTATTAAGTGATATTTATACGTGAACAAATTGTCATGTATGAATTCATTGACAAATTAATACAAATCTCAGTAAACATTCCATTTATAAAACATTCAGGTAAAATATGTATGAGTATGAGTTTATCCATTCTCGATATTATAGACTGTATTTGATCAGTCTCTAATGACATATATGCACACAGTCAGTCAGTTATGGCACAATGTAGAACCTGCCGCATGTTCAGAACAAGTCCATGCAGTTTATATTGTACTTGGTAACAAGTTGTTTTATTGAATTCCAGTGTGAACACCAACGACACCACATAAGCATATCTAGCTGACGATTCATAAATTAGATAAATCATGGATTTCACTGCTAGTTACTAACCAGATTAAAGCAATGATACAATTTAAGTACAATATCATAGGAACATAGTGATTAATAAATGGTGATCGTACAGAAATCCATAATGTAAGCCTGCAATCACCTTACAATAGGTGGTGAATGAGAAAACAATGCAGCTAATAAATAGGTTGAATCTAAACAACAACTTATTCAGTTACAAGCCAAAAAAACTAAATTATTCATAAAAGTATCACTTAAGTCATGACAACTTAACTTGTACATACGTAAAATGCATAAATACTCGGTACACGACTATTTGACGGCTACTGAAATAATCAGAATATCGGAAAGTTTGTCGATGAATATGTATGCCTAGATAACTAACTTGTAAAGATGATTAATTATAAGTGGAAACATAAACTAGATATTTATAAGCTGAAATGTAAAACAAATTGAGCGTTGAGTCGAGTTAATGATAAATATATTCTTTATATTCCAATGAGTACAAAATTGCATTTTTTGAAGTTTCGTGACTTAATGTAAGCCACTTCTTCAGAGTAGGTTTCTACTCATTGGAATATAAAAAATATATAGTTATTATTAGAATATAAAAACATTGTTTGGTGATGCTTAGTATTTTTTTAACTACAAATATTTAAGCGATTATATAACATGAAAATCTGATATCAGTTTATGGAGTTATTGCTTGTTAAACTGAACCATGGAGAGAAGTTCAGACTACTTGGTTCGGGTCGTGTGAATATCATCACTAATCGTTAGTGACTTTGGATGATACGGTTTAGAATCCATTGAAATGGTGAGAAGCATTGACTTTTTCTCACCCCCTTGATCTCAAGTTTCTTAACTACTTCCTAAAAGCAAACTTTCTTCACCCCACAAATCTATATTTCCTTCTTTAATCATATCTTCTTCGCCTAATATTTTCTACTAGTACTAATACTGTTATTATTTATAATGTTGTGGTATCTCATCGAGTTGATATGATGTGGAAACCCTAACTGACACACATATATGCCAATTTCTACAATTATGTATCCAAATTAATAATCCAAAAAGTGGTTAAGTTTAAGACAAAATAGATCGTTGAATGTGAATTCGAGATTGCTTTTAAAATAAAATTGTTAACTTTCAAGTAAGCAGTTGTGCAAATTGTTGAGTTTTATTCAAACTGCGAATCAATTTACATGAGCCGACCATCAAAGACAATGGATGATGGTCACACAGCATCATGGATTGGTTGAAGTTAAATATGTACACTGTGTTCTCCGGTTCGATCGTCTAAAAGTTAATTGGTCGTACACAAGACTGAAGGTTTTGGGTTCGATGCCCGGCTGCAGGGTCATGGATATGCATTATTAAGAAGTTCCACACAATAATGAACCGCTACCGAATGTTTCTAGGCTTTTAATTGTTGTCTAACTTAGATCAGTTCGCGATTTCAATAAAAGTGTTAATGTTGAAGAATAACTACTGAATAATAAACAATGTTAACTGGTTGATATGTTAAATGAAATTGTGATAGTAATGATTAGATTAGGTATGGATCAGATAGGGCGAGAGAAATAATAATCCAATTACAAATTCGATCAAATGTTTAGTGGAAGATTATATTAGGTATAACGTTATATGAACTCGGTAACAAAAAATAATAAAGTGGGTTAAGTGCTAATTAATTTACCCATTTTTACGGAAGACAAATAGTGGTGTTGAAGTTTAATAATAATAATAATAATAATAATAATAATAATAATAATAATAATAATAATAATAATAATAATAATAATAATAATAATATAAAGACGTGTGAATAGAAATAACTAAGACAATAAAATTTGAATAAGAAAGGTTGTATATACTTCAGTCAGTTTTAGTCATTTTATAGTTAATATTACTCTTCATCTATTACTTTGGGGTTAGCCAAAACTAAGGAAAGGTGTTCAACTTACTACTTCCACAAGCATAGCTCCAGCTTTTAATCCGAATGGCAACCTATTCTATCATTTAGAATAATTTGAGCTGAAACCGCCTTTAGGATAAAATTACTAACCCGATAAATTATTGAAAATGATTTACTTAATCTGGTAATATGACCGGTTTGCACTACATAACTAGTGCTGAGGCGTTTACTATCTTGACTAAACCAGTGCTTGGCCACGTCGGCAGGCATTCAGGAGCAAGAAAATGTAAGTTCCTAGAACTCCAATGCTTCCAGGTTATTAGTACTGGTCTAACATTGATCGGTTCATGATCACAATTAAAACTTAACAATCTCTACAGCTCAATTAGTTCGGTAAAAGTCTTTTGTAAATCCACCAAATGCTAAAAAAATTCATGTGTACGGATAGTAAATAAACAAAATTAGTGACTGATGTTATTATGAGGAAAATATTTGGTGTAAAAACGTTTTGTGAGCTGATGTCAAAGGGTTGACATATGTTTCATGCTAGTTCCAACTAGTCATCAAAGGTCTTCTTCAATATTGAAGGAACTGATGTTACCCATTATGGAATTTAAACCAGTATTGTATACATAAACAATAATTAGCAAAAATAATATGTGCACTAGAAAACCCAATGCTCACCTTGCTCATCTAAATATGAACTGGCTGATATCCTTGATTTACCTGAATCTTGACGAGGATACAAACTTTGTGATGGGTAACCACCACCATTATCACTGACTAGACGAGTAGAAATATCTAATTGAGAAGTTGAGGCTGAAATAGAAACCAACAATGAAAGTTAATTGAATAACTTATTTATTACTGTTCAATCTGTATTGCTAGTTATTGATTCTACTGACAAGTAACCTTGCATACGTATCTCTCTCGTCGTACACGATCATACATTTTAAAAATCGCCGCAAAAAAGAGAAAACGACTTCGATATTCAACACTCATGCGGAACAGACTTCATTAAACGGTAAACAACATAGACATGATGAAAACATCTAACTAATAAAAAGTCAGCCAGTTGCAAACAACACAGAATCAAAAGGCAAGATGAAAAACAGTCAAAATAAACTAAAGATCAAAAACATAGCCGATAAAATGAACGGATGAGATTGAAAACGAAGAATAGGTAATGATACCAAGTTTAGTTTTCAGAGAAAGATGAGAAATAAACGTAACTGTGCCCCCACCTCAGTTAATTTTAAGCTATGTCACTCAACGTACAAGCTACGATTATCTCAAGTGTTTCAATTAGGAAGTTTTCATCAATCAATACTTATCAAGACAAAAATCGATAGTTTCACTGAGTGATGTCTTGTCATAATATTTCTGTATTCAGCTTCCTTAAACACTGTTTTTATGCCTGAAAGCATTGTGAGATGAGGTAGATGATAGCTAACCATACATAATACATATCCCAATCACAAGAGGGTAAACGTTTTAACCCTTATCTATCGGTATACCATTTCCACAGGAATCTGTAAATCAAAGCTCAAAATTAGCAATTTGGACATTTTATTGCATTCAAGCAACGCACGTAAAACACGTGACCAGATGCAATTAACAGATAATCCAGTACTAATATATTTGTTCACGATACTGCGTGATAAACGTTTGAATAACATGAAAAATAGCCGTTCACCCAAGAATGAAGATGAATATAAAATATAATGAAACTTAGGTAGATCACAAGATTCCAGTCAGTTACAACTACGTTAAACAGAGTTTACAGAGTTGCTGAAACGACTAGTTTAGTAGTTACATTGCAAGAACTAGAATTAAGTCCATGACAATACAATACTAGTTACTAAAAAGTGACTAGTTGGCATCCCCTAAAAATCCATCACCTGATAACTATGCATTAGTACATGAAGCTATTCACAAATTGTTTACTATCCCTTATTTATTTAAGCATACAAAGCTTGATATAATAAATCAACACAAAATGTGCCGCAGAAAAGAAGTGATAACACTGCAAAGAAAACAGAGTAGGGAATGAGAGTATATACAATAAATAAATGAATAGAAATGGTACACAATGAGAAATAAAGTTAGAACGAAAGTACAACAAAAAAGGACTTCTCTCAATCAAAAACGTTATTCTCAGTTTTGTGATGAATACAGAGAAAAAGTACATTTGGATCATTAGTTACTTGCACTCTAAGACACTTATGATAGCTTCTGAAAACATTGAGTTACACAATCTGTACAACCCTAACCAAGGAGTCAGGGTTTACGGACGGATCCTAGTCCCATTTTAATTTCTTTCATATCACAAACTCATATCATTAACCGAACACCTCAACACTTTTCCCACTCAGTCCCAGTGTCGCCGAATAATCCACAATATGGAAGACGCTGAAAGAGCATTCGCAACATATGATTAAGGCATCAAAGTCGGTACTTCGGGAAAGTGACATTACTTGAATAAATTTCTCTGCATCGGAATACCTCTTGTCGAACGTCGGGAGTACTAACATGATGTAGTTAGCAGATGTCAAAAATCCTTCGAAAGGAACAATGAATAAACATGGAGTTGCTATATATCCTAACCTCGGATGAGCCAGGTTTCTCAACCATAGAATAAAACTCCTCTTCCGACGCATTGTAAACTCTAAATTTTACAACTAGATTAAAATCGCAACAGAGATAAAGACGGCTCAAATTGATACAATTTGCTATGCGTTCACTATCTTCATAATGATCTCACCAGTAATGGTCATTCCCAATAGATAGTAAGTGGAGCTGACATTCTACGATGAAATGATCTATATGAAACCAATGAAGGATTTCTTAATAACCAGTTTAATATAATACTTCATACACAGATATAGACACGTAAAACATTGAAAAATCCCTATGAAGCACATCTACATTTACGTAGGTGCCAACAATCAAAAATAGAACAAAGAATTGAAAAACTTATCAATTTTATGAAAAATATCATGACACGATGATAAAATGAAGATTAGAATATCAGTAATCCTGATGTATCATTTGTTCACTAACTTTTTCTGCTTCTCTTACGAACCGATTGTTGAATATGTAAGAAAGAAAAGCTAAACACAGAGCACAAAAACGGAATGATTAACAATGAGACAAGCAGGTGAATAAACTAATGATTAGCAAAATACTGTGCAGCTGACTATATATGCATACATCCAAGCAATAACGGCGGCATATTTGAGCAAAGACTATAGAAGAAGTGCCGACGAGTTCTAAAGACTGAGACATAATTTTACAAAATGTAAGCTAAAACGCAGCAGAGATTAAGAAAACAAATCAATTATTCGAATTAAATAATTGTGCAGTTTACTGGGGAAAAATAATAACAACACCAGGACTTGAAACATTCCCTCATATATAGATGCCCTGGTACAGCTGAGGGTGGGAGAGTCAGCTCTCCCTCTCGAAATGTCCTCACAAGGCCATGGGTATATAGCCACAACCACGGAAGTTCCACTCACTGTCTTCTCATAGTGGGGCTGTAGTTTATGGAATTGAGAGGACGAAAAGCGAATGTCCAGAGCTTTAATCGGGTTGGTGGATATTGAGAATCCATCTAGGGCATTTGGGAATCCCTGATTCCAAACGAATGGTGCACATGTGCTTCAGGATCCTGAGGAAAAAAATCGCGTATGAACCAATCGTTGGTTACAGGTTACCATGGAACTGAATCTCCTAATGTTGCTTCACTGTCTTGTGGATTAGACCTCTAGGTTAAAGGCTCGGGGAGTGGCCACCTAAGAAAACCACCTGCTTTGGTTTGGGCACCCGGGCAGTATCACAGCCCTCACACAAATCAATGATGACTACCACTAGTCTCATTGTTATTGTGTGGAATATATGTATTTAGTGCCTCTTTGTACCAATTTTGTGTTTAAATAAAAATAAATAAATAAGTAAATACAGTATTTAAAATTGCCTGTCTGGGAAGTTTCAAAACAAAAACGCCGAATCTACAGTTAGCTAACAATATTTACCATTTACACTAAGATTGATATGTTACATTCCAATAGTCCCAATAACTTGAAAAAACAATAAAGACAAGGAATTATATTCACCACTAATCCGTTAATTTTATTAGAAGGATAAGAAAATTGATCAGATGATAAGATGATTTTGTGTATAGAAGTGACTATATCACTATGAACAGTAATATTTTGGATAGAGTAATAATTAAATAATCAAGTTCTTTGAAAAGCATGACATAACTCTAAATGCTTATTCTACTAAAGACAGGAACTAATTCAAAGAAGAAATTGACTGTATTGAACAGAATTGTTGAACTACTGTTCTATATTTCGTATTATTCTAGTTAGTTGTACATGTTAACAAAAAAAAGACAATTGTTTTATAATTAACTAGCATAATTAAGTGAGTATCAATGAAAGACAAGACAATAACCGATATCTAATAAATAGCACTAGTGAATACGAATAATCTTTAATTTCATTTTATTGGTTATAAGTAGTATCCGCTTGGGTGCCTTCAGATCAAAGGCTCCGGGTGCGGCCCCCTAAGAAAACCATCTGCTTGAACATCTGCGCTACCTGTTCCTGCCATCTAGATATTTCAACAAGTTATCTATTTTTGTTTGTTTTAATATATCATTATGTTTATTAATCGCATAACCTATTCTGCTGCGTTTCGGAAGATTGTACAACCTTTCGTTGTCAAAGTTACAAAAAACTCAATAAGAGACAATGTGGTTGCTGGCAATAAACAACGAAAAGAATGCACATTATTCAGATGTTCATTTAGTGAACTGCTAACATCTAAGTGGCGATCACTCAATATTTATCGCCAGGACCGACCAAGAAGAAAGAAACGGAAACTTGTTGAAATACTTTGCACTGAGAATTTTATATTGTACCAAAAATATAATATTGAATAAAGCTGATGATAATAATAATCTACAATTTAACATCAGGATAGTTAGAACATTCTTCAAGAACAATCGCATATAATTAAACAAATGAAGTTACTTGGCAATCATTTACTGTCGGATTTATTAGTATTAAGCATAAAAACGTACTATTTTAAAATTTTATATTCAGTGCCAGTATATGCTGTTATATTTTAAATTATGAGTAAATCGAGTTGAACATTGAGAACTATTACTTACAGCACATCAATGAGCAATCATGTTAATCAATCACTGAGTAGCGACTAATGTCATCTTATTTAATCTAGCCCACGAATGCCCTAGTAGGGATGAGAGTGAGGAGAGTCCGCTTTTCCTCTCAAAGTGCTCTCACATGGCCATGCGTATACAGCAACTACCACGAAAGTCTTACTCACTGGCTTCTCGCGGCAGGGGTGCTGATTACGAAATTGAGAGGACGAAAAGCGAATGTCCGGCGCTTTAACCGGTTTGGTGGACAGGGATGGTCCCCTTAGGGGATTCGGAAAACCCTGATTCCAAGCCAATAGTGTACGTGGTCTCAAGAATCCTGAAGGAATAAATGGCAAATGAACCAACTATTGATCACCGGCTGCCATGAGACTGCGTCTCCTGACGTTGCTCCACTGCCTTGTGGATCAGACCTTCAGACGAAAGGCTCCGTGTGCGGCTCCCTAAGGAAACCACCTGCTTCGATCTGGGCACCCAAGCAGGATCACAGACCAAACCCAAACCAAGTAACTTGTGTGGCGCATATGTATTCGGTGCCTCTTTGTACCAATATTTATGTGTTCAAATAAAAATATAAATACATCTTAATCTAGAATGTTGAATGAATCTCATCAGTCTACTTGTAATGTAGCCGCTAAATTAGAAGAATCAAAACCTTATTGCAACTTAATTGATATTATTTAGCCGATTGATACGATCTGATCTAGCTGACTAGCTAGGGGCTGTACTACATGGCGTTAGTTGCTATTTTGTGACTTATCATTCTAAGCACCTCACACTCACAAGTTAGTTCCAATCTAAGTAGTTCAGTAACAGCATTCCTGAATTCATTACTGAGTAACGTGCAAAAAAATATGTGAAGGATCACCAGATACTTCAAGATTGCATACGTTACCTGCTGATGAATAACAATCAAAATAAATTCTGAGTCTATGGCCCCAGCCAAGTGTAACAATCAGTTTTTATGGAAAAGATATATTACTATTATTGACTTTATTCAAATATTATATTTTGGTACAATATATAGAATTCTCAGAACAGGGTATTTTGGTTAGTAGTGGAAACCAGGACGCACGTTTCATCCTGTCTGAAACCCGTCAGCTAAAAGTACCTACATTCCAGTATTGATGTTAACACTGGTACTCGAACCCAGTAAACTTGTGACAAAATTGTTATATCGAGGCAATTCACACAGGATGTACATATTACAACTACGACTAACCAAAATTTAGTCAAGAATATCAACAACGGGATAATTGAAACCTTCGGAAATTAATCAATCTAAAAAAGTGAAAATGGTTACTGAAGTTAAACAAAGGAGGGAATTATTTAAATGTCGACCTACATTGGTGGGTATGAAACAGAATACTATTAAGTATAAGATTTCCACTTCACGTATTAAGAATATACAGTATTTGTTCAACACTATCGATTAACAAGACAACATTGTTACATGAAAGGACCAAAATTAGAAAGGATGAGAGTAAAGATGTGGTCATGGATCAGGTGAATATGAAAGAAAGCAAAGAATATTTATGATGAATATCACTTGGCTTCGTGAGCTAGCGACCTAATGAACATAGAAGGTGGAGTAAACAGTATTAAGAAAGACTAAACATTTACTAGGCATTTTTCTCAGATATACAAAGTTTTTAAAAAGTCAACCAGTAACATAGTTGAATTCTTACTTCAGAAAAAAAACCATGGGTAGTAGATGCTATAGGAGTAAATACGTTTTATGTGATCACAACCCTAAGGCAGATCCAGATCAATGACAATGTTTTAGTACCATTTGCAAAACTGTTGCTAACGAAATAACTTATTCATCAGTGATATCTCTCCTAAATTTCTGTTTTATTTAAGCACTATTTTCAGTGTTGCTATAGCAGACCAAAAAAAGAGTGAACAAAAGTAACGACAAACTCATCAGCCTACTCGATATATATAAATATGATTCTATCGAAAAAGTTTATGTAGCCTCTGGAAAAACAACATATATACTGAAGAGATACTAAAAGAAGTGTCAACAAATGTTTCCAAAAACCAACCCAAAAACACCCGTTGTAATAATAATGGTTAAAAAAAACATTACTAATCGTATTTCGGTATAAACTATAGACTAAAGCATAAAATGATTTTGCAGCAATTATCAGAAACTAACTAGAGCTATACAATTTGTATTATTTTGAAAGTGCATAAATCAACAGATTATTCAGAGCAATCAATGTGAGTAGAGCAACTGATAGAAATAGCATAGAATGGCAGGATACTGAAGTTATATCAATATAATAAATTATTGCTTTACACAATTTATGAGCCGGGGATCCTATGGATTTAGATGGGATGATAGCCGATGGAACCAAACGGCTGTTAGTGTTGTATCGGTAGTTGGTGTTGGTATTATTACTGCTCACAACGCTAGAACGCGTATATAATGAATCTGTGGGGATAAGTTTAAATTTATGAAAATTTTGATCATCAGTTGGAATAATAATAATATGACCTATAAATTGTTACATAATAATGACATAGGATTGAAGATTTGTTGGACATTGCACTTTGAATTGCCTTTCTTTTTTAGAAGGAAGATGAATAGAACGAATAAATATTTTTTCCTAATTGGTTCTTCATTAAGTTCTGTTAGTATTGACATTATTCAAGCAGCTTACCGAATTGCCATGAATAAAGCCCCTCAATTTAACTGTGGTCTTCAATCGAATTTATCGAATAGTGTATATATGCATATCTATTACTAACGGATGAAGCTATCAGCATCCCTATCTGACCAATACAAATTTCTGTGTGTACAAGGAGTTTATGAAGCTGCTTTCTCTCACTCCCCCCTTCTTGATCATCAACACCTTCATGCTACAGCCCGATTATGAACGCTCGACATTGTTGTCTCATTTGTATTACTTACAAAATCATCTAATTTTGTTCTTACATAATTATTACTAATATTTATCTGCTTAGTAATACATGTATTCATTGTTAACATTAGACTCTTCTGAGCGTGATTACCGGTATCACCATTAAATCATCTATTCATAGTGATGTATAATTTTCGAAAAATTTAAATGTATTATTTCATTATCGACTGAGATCATGAACCGATTGATGTTAGACCACCATTGAGAACCTGGAAGCACTAGACGGCCGTTTCGTCCTAATGTTGGACTCCTCAGCAGTTCGCATCCACGATCCCTAGCCTCGATCAATCCGCGAAATTGCGTGACCATCTTCCATTGTACTAAGGTAGATACCTGTCTCTACCCGATACGGATTAGCTTCACTGGTCACGGTTTCTTACTAGAACTCCGAGAATCCCTTCACAAAGCCAATCACTAGTGAGCACATCGTAACATTAATAGGTTCATGATCCCAATCAATAACTTCATAATCTCCACAACCCTATATTGATAATTCATTATCATTAACCATTATAAAAACAACACTAAAACTGACCTCGATAAGATGTCCCGCCAATAGATGATTGACTTCTAGAACAATAATAATAATAATATCATTTGAAAAATGTACAAAACATTTATTGAATATCAACGAATAATTATAGCAATTATTAATGATTTTAAAAAAGGCATTCAAACAAGATAAATAAATAAATAAGGTTATGTATATTAGAATTAAAACAATTTTATAATTGTAACACTTTATGGGTCATCAAAGTCAATGTCTACCAAAATAAGATAAACAAAATAAAATCTTAAATATTGAAAAATATTCACATAAACATTCAGTTATTTTGTAATTTAGATGAAAAATAATTCCTAACATATTTTTGTGTATAATCATGTATACAGAGTATTAATACTACAGTTCATATAAATAATCAAGTAATTTATACAGATCATTAATCAGTTTAATCCTTACTAATCGACAGTTCAAATTGGATGAGATAGGATGTTATATTTGAGCTTCCTATCTTGTGATGTAGTAATCAAATGCCTCCCCTATGGGACCACGTAACTGATGATTTGTGACATGACGCTGTAGTATGGAAGTAACATGGGACTAGGATCCATCAGTAAACTATGACTCCTTGGTTAGGGTTGTACAGATTGTGTAACTCAGTGCTTCTAGAAGTTATCATAAATGTCTTAGAATGTAAGCGATTGGTGATTCGACAGTACTTTTTCTTCGTATTCATCATAGAAGTGAGAATAACGTTTTTGATTGAAAAAGTCACTTTTGGTTATATTTTTATCTAGACATTTCCCCGACTGAATTTCATATCCTTCCTTCCATCTTCAACAATGTCATATCTTTCTTAATATGGTGCCCATATTTTGGTACCTAATTATACCCATATCTTATGTGTATTTGTATCACGTTTAGCGTTTAAATTGTTTATTCTAGTTAGCATTCTTTTGCAACGTTGTTTTCCATAGGACAACTGTCTATGCAAGATACTCAGTGTCCGTTGGCCGGATACCATCAGCAACAGCCTTGTATATACAACCTGCTGTATATATATATACGCTTGAGTTGTGTGCTTGTTATTCGTGCTTCCGGTTGCTTGTGTAATATACTTTCCCTCATCTGAATATGGACTTCTCCCTTTAGTTAGCGGGGCTGAAACACATTCTTCATTCAGTTTGCCGATTTTTAATGACCTGATAATCTCTTCAAACACAACAATTCCACAACGGAAAACCATGTTCACTGAAATAAATTTCAAATTTATACTTATAGTAATAACAAAATACTTTTATAAGACTGTAAAAACTACCTCGATTGATAACATTTCATTTTTAATTAAAGTACCATACTGATTTGTATATCACTTGGCTGATAAGCTTTCAAGTAATACTTTGAATGCTTAAACACTTCTCACTTGAATTTTTGAAGCAACTTTAATCTTGTATTCCACATAAAGTACCAACAGGGTTAGAGAAGAATCGTTCAACTTTACTATGAATTGAGTTATGAAATGATATTTGAAATCCGTCAAAGAACTAGCCAAATTTATTTTAACAGGCATAGAAACCATCAACTTTTCCCATAACTAACTATTTATCAATCTTCAAGAAGTGTACCAGAAGAAAGAACATTGAAGTTGAAGCGATTAAATTGCAGTATAGATACTTTAGAAACAATATCTTATGTAATTTCATTTTGTATAGCTTGTTTGAATCTTCTCATTGATGTTTAAAAATGCAATTGATCAGTCACTTATTAGAATATGTGCATCCTGTGCGGATTCCCTCGATATTGCAGATACATTCAGCTGACAATTCCTAAACAGAACGAAACGCTTGTCCTGGATTACACTGTTAGCCATCATCCACCTTTGCTTATGAATATCTTATGTAGTATGAATAATTTAAGCAACAAAAACGTTTTTAAAGGTTGCTATTTTCAGTAACATTTTGTAACTGTTAACATAAATATCTAATTTTTAAAAAAATAATTGATTATTAAAACAAACAACTACACACATACAGAAAGAGAGAAAAATACACACCAATTAGAGCTATGTACAACTTACCCTCTTAAATTTGATTTTGATCTATAAGAGTAAATAAAACACAAAAGATGTAGATTGATTGATGATTAAAAAAAAAGGACAAACAAACATAAAACTTAATACGCTTATTTTATTTTCATAGTAGAGGTTAAATTAGAGGCTAATACAAGAATAAATACAATATAAATGAGATTAAAAATAAATGAAGTATACAATAGTGGGAATAAACAACGATAAATGATTTATTTTACAATAGAAATGTATTGTGCACAATTGCACAAAACTGAAATCAGGATTGGTTATTTGGATAAAAAGCATTTATATCCAAATAGATTTTATCACTAGGTTTTATATGAAAGTATTTTGATAGTAATTTGGGTAAATCACATTTGATATTAGTTATAGGGCTAATAGTAACGGAAATATTTGAACTCTAGCAAGCATTAATATTTGTATACAGAAATTATGACTATGCGTCATTTGAAAAGCCACAAAAATCTAATACAGTTGGTATGTAGTTAACAGTGCAATTTGTGACTCGTCAGCTGAATTCATCTGCATCTCAGTATAGATGGTCAAAATGGGACCTAAATCCAGTAAGCTTTGTTACAAATTCTCAACACGTTATCCGATGAGCTACTGAGTCTAGATAGTTAGAAACGTATTCAACTGGTATGAAAATAATTATATGATTTTATGATTTACAGTAAATGATATTCAACGGATATTATGTTGGAAGTTGGAAATGAAAGGTAATGAATTTGAGTCTCAGTGTGAACATCAACACTAGGATGATGCAGGCATATCTACCTGAAGAATCACAAATAAGATGAAATGTGCGTCTTGGATTTCACTGATAGATACATAAAAAAGTATACCAAAACTTGTGATATAGTATTCTTTAGAAGCAATCCACTCAGGATCGTTAAATGGCACATATACAGAGACAGGTCAATTGTAATCCTGAATATCAACAATGGAAAAATACAAACCATTCCTAACGCCATGAAATTATTATTCATTATCATAACCGTCTAAATAATGGTGGTTTTTACTAAATCTGTAGCCTAATGCATAATAACCCTTAAGAGTTAGAAGCAATAAGGTTTGAGGTTCAAATCTCACTTGGAAGCAAGAGTATTCAGATGACATATTCAAAAAGTGTTGAATAGGCGTCCTGAAATCTACTCCTAAGTACCATCCACAGTAAAATACCATACAATAATGCTAGTGACTAGCTGATTCAAAATCAAAACTCCACAAAAAGGTAGAGCCTTTGGTGTCCTCTATCCTAACATCTTTGTTCTTCAATATCAATAAGAATGATTCCCAGTGCCAATCAGTAAGATTTGTAGCAGTAAAATCTAATATATATATATATATATATATATATATATATATCACAATCGATTGATCACTGGGTGGTGATCAATGTCATGTGTGTCAAGTCCTTTTTGGTGCAGATCGAATGCTATCGACCAAGATGCAATGTGTCCACTAGTCTAGGTGACTCGACATTGAGTGAATTATGCTGAGATTAGATGGTGGTTGGAGGTAGTGAACAGGGAACCTTGAACCCGGGTTTCGTGCAACTTGGCACTCGTCAGCAAGGTGTACCTTTAATCTTGAGGGAAATGATGCTTCCTGAAGAATTCGATCCCGTACCACCCAGCTTCACAGTCAGAGACGTTACCGCTAAGCTAGCCGGGCTGCGATCAACCTCCTGTAGAACTGAGATGTAATCACGATTGATTGATCACTGGGTGGTGATCAATGTCATGTATGTCAAGTCCTTCTTAGTGCAAATCGAATGATATATATATATATATATATATATATATATATATATATATATAAGGATTGGTTGAAGTTAGACATTAACACCGTTGGATACCGGCTCAGTGATCTAGAGGCTAAGCGTTCGCGCGTGAACTGCAAAGGAGTCCCATACTAGAACGAATCGGTCGTCCAGAACTTCTAGGTTTTCCATGGTGGTCTAGCTTTAATTGACTTATGAATTCAACTATTTTATTAATGGTTACTGTAAAGTGAATCTGTGTATAAAACAATAGTATTTCGGTTTGATATAAAGATATTCTTCACAGCTGTATCCCACGTCTATCTTCTTCTGATCTTCGCAATATAGTTGAGGATAGTGTTAACAGTATTAGAGGAAAAGGGGCATAGTGCTAAAGAGTAACTGAATGAATTGACTTACTGGTGTCATCTTTGCATTACCCTTAAATTCCTCTGTGTTGACATTTCCGAATTGGATAGTCAAAATCAAGTTAGAACAGAAATTCAAGAGTAATTTAAATACTAAATTATCGCATGATAAGAAATGATTGACACGAATTAAAACTATTTACTATAATTCTCTTATAATGACTATTCACATTTGTGTGAAAAACTTTAATAAACAACATTAAAACAGTTTACCAATAATAAAAAAGGAAGTATGCGAATGGAACCATCAATCTACTTACCCTTTTTCGAGACTTTGAAAGTAAGGATCTTTCCCAGCAGCTTTTTTAGCTGCTGCTTCAGCCAAATTAAGTGTACTATGCGAAAGTTTCGATTTAAATTTCTTCAACATATTTTTTTGTTTAGCTATTACAGAAGAAAAAACATTTATAGACATTCTTACAGTAGAAAATGAAGGAAATAGTAAATGAATATCTCTCAGTGAACTCACTACAAATGAGAAAATGTATAAAAGTATGATTCATTTAGACGAACCATTGATTAGATTGTGTAACTCGATAAACGCTATATTCCTCGTGCTTGATAAATGAACCGAATATCTGAACGATAAGCTCAAAAAAGAGCCTTAAGGCATCATGGTTATGAAAGAATAAATCAATCGAGCCCAGTCTCAATAAACTAACAAAAAATAGTTAAAATGAGAATTGATTAATTTTAAACAAACTGATATTTACTAAAATACCGATCATATTACACATGATCTGCGAAATAATTGTTTGAGAAAAGGGAAAGCCTATATATGGATGTAAACACACAAACATTGGTACAAGGAGGCATCAAATATATATGTGCCACACAAACCATTCGATATGTGTGGGGGTTGGAATACAGTCCGGGAGCCCAAACCAAAGTACGTAGTTTCCTTAAGGGGACACTCATAGAGCCTTTAAACTAGAGGCTTAATCAATAAGGCAATAGAGCAATTTCGTGAACAACAGCTCCATTATGAGAAGGCAGTGAGTAGGACTTCCGTGACAGTGGCTGTATACGCGTAGCCTTGTGAGAGCGTTTCAAAAGGGACAGCTGACACTCACCTTGGGCCGTATCAGGACATTTTGGGGCCTTATAATAGTAATAATAATAAATGAGGATTGTAAACCGGCTGAAAACAAATGCGCAGAATTTAATTTCCATTTATTAATTTTATGGTACTATGTATTGCCACGATGTTTGAAAATCCTAGTGTCGAATCACCACGAGGTGTAATCGTTAAGTAATAGAGAAGAGTTCTGAATGAAAAAGAAAACAGCTATTCAGCACTAGGTTGTTTTTCAATTTCAGTTCGTAAAGAAAACTGATTTTTTCTAAAATAGTACCAAGAAATGGAAGGTAATGTTGAATGCAGTTTAACAAATTAACTGTGAAATAAGGTATACATAAGCGCATACATGTCTATGTCGATTTAATGTTGTTACAATTTTTAAGAAAATTACTCACTCAAGTGATCGACTATAATATCTGAAAAAGACAAATAGTAAGTGTTATATCTTGTGACCGCCGATTAGAGAGCAGTGACTTATCGATCGGATCAATGACGCGTAAAACACGTGCGAGCAGCCTAGAGTCTTCATTGGTCCTGCTCTTCACCTAGCCCAGCCAGTTAAGTCCAGAACACCAATCCGAGCCACTGCGATATGAATCATTATATTTCAAACATACTGAGTTTATATACCAATCAAACAGACCACAACGTACCAATAAAATATGAAACAACATTTGTACAAGAATTAACCAGATGTGGCTGTGAATGAGGGAAGTAGTAATTAATATACTGGGTATAACTCAAGAATGGTGAAACGTATAGTAATAGTTTATGGGTCAAAATAAAGCTTATAATAAGAGGAATATGCATATGCATAGTTTAGTTACTTAATAATTATACAATAGAAATATACGTTTAGTATTGGTCCATAAATGGATCCCAAAAGTTACCATTCATTCTTCTTGTCGGGACATAACAGTAAGTTAAGTTAAAAGTAATCATCTATATTTGACTACAGTTTACTCTAAATATCTCTACTTTTAATATATTCAAACAGAAAGGATCCATTTTAAAGAAATGTATATTCCTATTGCTGACACCAAGGACTTCAAATGACATATAAGCATCCTGATTGAATTACCTTCACATAGCTACTTAGCCATTAATTTTTATTAAAGATGGATTGTAACTAACAGTAGAAATTCAAAAGTGCACTTCGTCCCAATCGGGACACATCAGATACAGAATGAAACCGAAAAATCGTTAAGAAAATAGGACAAAAAGGACATTCTTAACTTTTCCGCTAGCCACCATCTGTCTTCATCAGGAAGAAGAAAATTCATTAACTTGACATTTTAACATGTTAAATAAAATGAAAGACAGAATCTGTGAATAACTCAGGTAGAAAATTTTTTATTACATTAAGTCTAAGTACTGATAACTGTCATTCAAGTCAAAAAGTAATAACTATCACATTTATCTGATTATGAAAACATAAAATATTATTCAGACAGTTAATATGAATACTATGGGTTAAGATTTCAATAGAATTCTGATTGATATATAGACATGATAATATGATGTCACCGAGTGGTAACGATTCATCAGAGCGGAATAATGACTCAACCTTCTCTGTTCCAAAAGAACAGATATCAAAAACTAAACTACCAGATATAAAAATAGGTCCATGTATACATATATCACAGTACTGAGTTCTAAATTTCCAACTTTATCACCGAACTAATATTTGGAGGGAGGGATTTATCATATAGTCGGTAATACAAGTAGTGTGAGGTAAATCAGAGGTGTGGTATGATAATGTTCTACAAACCCTTTTCTAAAGTGACTAGTTAAAAATGTATGGAATACAAAACTTTTAACAAATTTTAACATACTTCATAATTATAACCTCTAATTATAATAATGATTATCTGATTCACAAACCAGAAAGTACCAATGTAACTTTTTTAGTGAATTCATTAAACAAAAAACGTTTATACATAGTAGGTTTGAAAGAATAAATTGTTGTTAGTCTATGGAAGTTCATGATTTAGAATGAAACTAATTTTTACTATCTTACATACTAATTTGAAATCACCACGTGCAAACAAATAAACCTCCTGAAGAATAACAAACTAATGTTACGCATTGATTTTTTGCTCACAGTAACAATAGCACACTAAACATCCCTTCAAATAAACATAGTTTCAGTACTATCGACGGTCAAATAGATAGATAATAAGCGACTAACGCGCATCCATTTCTTTAGTTTAATTCACGAACTGATATTAGCTAGACCACCACTTAAAACCAGGAACTCCTCTGAACAGCTATCGCACCTTATTATGGGACGGAACTATGAACTTCTGATATTGAGTCCAATCCTCTAATCCACTGGACCAGCATCCAATAATTCGATTCCCGGTACGAAATCAACACTAGGATATAGGTACATTCAGCTGGTCAGTCCCAAATAGGAAGAATCGCGGGTTCTGGATTCCACTGCTAGTAACAATTCACCAATAATTAATGGCATTTGTCAAGAAGAAAACAAATTCATAATTCAGTGTTAAATAATGTTTCTCAATTAAGTCAGTTGATTTATTTGGTATGCAAATGATATCCACACATCAGATTGTTGATTAACAGCTAGCTCGACTTATTCTAACTCATTGATTGGTAAAAACATTAAAAATGATATGTAATTTATTATTATCATTATTATTATTATCACTATTATCATTATTATTCTGGATATCGTCTAATTAACGACCGGTGAATAAATCAATCTGCTTCTAGAGTTATGTTTTCTTTATTGGACCGACATAGAAGTCTTGTTTCAGCATTCAAAAACTTACACCGTCAACTCCTGATTTCGACTACCACATTTCCGTAATCTCACGCATGTGTTATTTCTAACTGTTGACGATTGTTCTCATTATTGAACTGAAGTGTACTGTGCGTGCTTACTGAGTTATTAGTTCACTTTTTTCTTGTTCTCTTCCCTTTCAGATCCTCTCACACACGGTGCTCCTCATCACACTACCCCTACTATCAGACAAGGTAGCTTCAGACTAAATGTTAAACTATTAAAGGCAGAACGTCGTAGCATTATTATGTACAGACTGATTACAGTTAGTTTCATGAGAGAAATTTATAGGAAATATATAAACCAAATGTGTGAACAAATACATCAATTTTCAGGTACGGTGATAATGAGCAAGATACCATCAAAATGAATGCCCTTGGTAGAGCTCACAGATAACAAAATACATGAGACTGAGAAGTAACCAATATTTTTATGAAAATTTAGGACCAAAATTTAAACGTGCCGCTCCGTTTTATTAGAAGTTAAGAGTTGAAACCATTTCTGAAAGTGTAAATATGATATGGTAACATACATAAAATAAAAAGCATTACAGTGCATATATGTATGTGCACTAGAAACAACCAGTAACTAACATCAGTACAAAACGTGAGCAAGCTGAGACAAGGAATGATGAATCAGTTTATTGGAAAGTCATTCAGTTCACCACGACACCCAGATTGAGGTCATACAAATTGTCCAACTATCCACTGACGATCCTGCTGTAATTTCTAATTACATTCTTCATAAACAACAAGTTATCATCTTTAAATAAAAGCAAACTTTCTTGGTGTTGGGATGGCTCCTAGAAAGAGTGATTAAAGCTTCAAAGGTTATAAAGAATCCGAAGAAATTCCTCTCAGTCACAGCCCGACAGGATTTTTAAAATATCGACTTGGCGTGATTTCATTATATTTGCGACTTGAGGGTTCTATACGTTCAAGGGCCAAAGTCGTATGCCATATTAGTCGTAATCAAGCACCGAACGTCTACATTTGGCTACATTATTAACTATCTTATTTATTTATTTATTTATTTATTTATTTATTTATTTATTTATTTATTTATAGATAATGAAGACAAAAGATGACACAGAAGTTGTAAAATGAATGTAATCACTAAATATATGTGTGGTGCATTGTTTTAGTGACCTACTCTTACTATAATTTATGTGCTATAATAAAAGAAAAAGAATTGACTGTTACATAATCAATCAAATAACCAGGACCAAATATAGAAAGTTATACACACACAAAATAACAGTAAATCACAGTAGATCCTAGACATAAATAGAAAAGGACAAGACATGAATTGAAATACACAATATTTATAATTAAGAAAACATTATGCTTAAAAATGGATACATACTATATGTAAACAATTTGTAAGTAAACATTGCCGTAAACAAGCTTTAAAAAAACAACTATCGTGATCAATTTAAATAAGGAAAAAACGTTTTTTTATGCATAAAACAAGTGTATATTCGATTAATAAGACAAATGTATGCTAATTTATAGAATTTATGGTAATGAAGTTGAAAGTCGATATTTATTACAATAACAATATATTGCGAAGTTGAATAATACTGAATAGGTCTCTAGTTACGTACAAAATTTAAAGCATAACTCATCTATGTGTTCATTTAAGTAAAACGAAAGTCACTTCTATCACTTAATTAGTGAACTGATTAGAATAATATGAGACATGATATAGACAGAAATAAACAGTATAAAATCTGCAACAAACAGTTGTCATTATCTGTTCTTTGAGCCGCGAGATCCACCCAGGTGTCTTTCCCTTCCTCTTAGAGTTTACCTGCTTGAGCATTAAAGTCACCAACCACTATTACTACATCAGAGCGCCTAGCTTTTCGGAGGTCGGAAAGCTTTCTGTAAAACTCAACTTTTACATCGTCTGAGCTGCAGTCAGTAGGAGAGTAGGCAGAGACTACGAAGAGGCAACGACGAGTGTCCCTATCTTTCCGAGTCCTTACTGTTCCGTTTAGTGATGTACGTACGTACGAATTTCCACGTTGTTACTGACTAACTGTATCCGTTTAATTCTCGACACTAGATTAACACAATGACAGGAAACTAAGTAGAAAATAGGATGAAAATAATAATCCCACTGGTAGTGGTTAGCTAAATACAAACTACAGTTTAACAGAAACGAATAAAATCAGGAAATGTGAAGAATACGAAACGATATTCAGTTCAACTTTAACAGAAAGATGGAGGTGCTACTGTCAACAATTTTTGTGTAATGCTTCCCAATGTTTCCTAACACAGCTCAGAATGAAAGTCAATGACATTGAAAACATAATTTAGTTTCCATATGACACAATAGTATATTCGTTTAAACATTGCTTTACATTTAATTACCATGAGTTTACACTTACAATTTCATTCGTTAAACTGGATGACATGGGATCCAATTCTCCATGGAATATCAGTTCCCATAAGAATATAGGTAAACCCTACTGAAGAGTGTCAAATATTAAGAGACTTACGTCCGCGGTTTCTATCAACTACCTCCAACTACCCTACATCTCAACGTGGTGCGCGCGATATCGAGTCACTTTGACTAGTGGCCGTAGCCCAACCTCGTCGATGGAACTCGATCAACACTAGGCAAATAACACATTGGTCAACACTCAGTGATCAAACAAGCGCCTTTATTTAAACTCTATCCACAGCAATAAAAATAACTGGCTACGGACTACGTCAAATAATCAAAAAGATCCATCCTATTCATTTAATGATGACACAATTTTTGAAAGGTAGAATAATCTATCCTTAAGTCTTGAAAACTAAACTCATTTACTGAGCACAGGTTTACTTTCTCGGCTTTCAGTCACACCTTTTCGCTAAGGTTGGAACCACATTTCGACCTGTTTGGGACCCGTCAACTGAATGTACATGTATCAGCTACAATGTTCGTACAAGAGCTAGTGATACTAACCAGCTTCCCAAACCAAAGTGGGGCGAAATTAGAATCTATGACGAAATCGTTCATGTGCTTTAACCACTAAATAATGTATCGCTCTTAACTTTCTAGGTAAGCGGATGCATTTAGTTGATGAAACTCTGGCTTATACAACTTCCCAGGTGAATCACTTGACTAGTTACAGTAAATATTCACCTCAATGTTTGCAATCAATGAATTACAAATACTGACAACTAATGAAGTGGCAGTTTCCAATAATTTAAACTATCTAATCATCATATAGTGAGATCATCATATAATGAAATCACTATAAAACAGAAGACTACTGATGAAATGTAAGTTTACACAATAAAATAGAAACAATCAATTTGTGAACGAACACATGCATAAATACGGTTGAGTAATATCCCTCAAATGACTGGATGCGAAGTTAGTGTTCTAAACGTCACGCGTTCGCCACGTGAGATGGCAGTCCCGGTTACGACCCCCGATGGAGTTAAAGATGCGAACTCTTGAGAAGTCCCATACTATGACGAAATAGTTTTCCAGTGCTTTCTGGTTCTCAATGGTTCTTTGACTTCGGTTGGTTTATAATCTCAATTATATATATATATATATATATATATATATATATATATATATATATATATATATATATATATATATATATGCCATACTAATTAAGTGAGATTAAAGTACAAAGACTGAATTTATGTTAAAACAGGGTGTGGCAAAAAACGCAGATAAAGGAAATGTCTAAAATTCATTTCATTTGCCTGCGAGAAAAAACCTTTTTGAAAACGTACTGATGAACACACTTTTTATTTTAAATACATGAAACAAATTAAATAGAATATTGCTTGGGCTACTACACAGAAACAAAATAACGATATGTATATCCAAATTTCAGTTTACACACACACACACACAAAACAATAATTAGTTTAACCAACTTGAGATTGGTGTATAAATCAAGAGTATATAAAATAATTATTCACGAAATGAAAAATTTGCCAAAAAAAACTTGTTAGCTGTTCTCTCTACACAAAGACAAGAGAGTATTTTGGAAACTTGACACTCAAGTCATTGAGTAATTATCAAAAAGCTGATCGATTGTATTCGATTAATACTGAAAATTACATAAAACAACGCTGGTTAGTGTGTTTAGTGAATACTTAATGGAAAAACGTATCTTAGTTCTACAGAAGCTCAATTGTAGCCTGAATAAATCGTAAGGAAAAGGTATTTATATAACGCTGGGTGAAACATGCTCAGAAGTCTTATGAAGAACGTGTTGTGCTGAGTACTATCTACAACAAAATCTAGGTCTAGGGACTTTTTGTTGATTACCTTCAGACAGTGACAATACAATTATTGACGATAATCCAGAAGAATTTTTTATTCACAAAATGAGCTGTGGAAAAAATCTAATTTATCCAATCCTAAAGTATATCCTGATAATGTTGTCTACAAACTTTATAATTAAACTATTGAACCCTAAGAACACAACAAAGAACAAGTAAAATCCTCCTCATAAACTGAAGAAAAATATTTACCATATAACACGAAGTATTTGTTAACTAATTAAGATATATTTCAAATAAACTACCATACACTTATACATTGACTTATAAACAAAAAATATTTTCTAACAATAAGCAATTTCTTACTTGATTTTATACTGCCTGCAAGTGATCCACCAAATTCTGATTGAGCATATGGACTATTTGAATGTGATTGATACATTGGTGGTAAACCCATTGGTCCACTGAATTCACTTACAGTACCATCATTTTCAAATGGATTATATGACATACCGGGTACTTGTAAAGTAGCAGATGAACCATTAATTTCCCTTTTTTGATAACCATTAGTGTAATCATTATCATTTTTGGATCTATGCTTAGATCTAATTAATAAAGAAAATTATAGTAAACTAGAGTTAAACAATATCATTCAATACTGTTATCCGAAAAAATGAAAATATGATAATAGTAAGTAAAAATACTGGATTTCTACTCAGTGATCGTCTAAAGGCAGCGCACAAGACGTTAAAGTTCTGGGACCAATTATTAACAGTGTAAGGACTGAGAACTGTCAATAAATTTCATAATACAACAAAACACAAATTCAGTACTCTCTAGTTTACAACAGTATCAAAACTGAACTCAACTGAAATCATCATAATAATACATCCAATGGTGCACATGGGCTCCAGTATCCTGCGGGAACAAGTGGCATATGAACCAATTTTTGGTCACCGGCTACCATGGGACTGCATTTCCTCACGATGCTCCACTGCTTTGTGGGTTAGACCTTTAGGTTAAAGGCTCGGGGTGTGGCACTTCCCCCCTAAGAAAACCACCTGCTTTGGTCTAGGCATCCGGGTAGTACCACAGCCCACACACAGTTATGATGAACTGTCTATATTTATGGAAAATACTCTTCTTGCTGCGATTAACAATCAAATGATTCACATTATTATTATTATTATTATTATTATTATTATTATTATTATTATTATTATTATTATTAGCTACGTCAGTTATTCACTCTCTTTTATTCCCACTCCGTCTATCCTTATTTTTCGGCTTATACAGCAGCTCGCCTATGGAAATTCGGCTCTATCTAACGTTCTCGAGTCACTGCCTGACTGAAAATTGTACGCTACCACCGAATACGAGGACTGAAGCAGTTTTTCTGAAACCACGTGCACCATTCAAACTGGCTGCCTTCAACGTTCGCACACTTATGCAGGTTGGTCAACAGATAGGGCTGGCTATGTCTTTAGGAAGTCTTAATATCGATGTTTGTTGTCTATCCGAGACCCGTATTCAAGACTCTGGTGAAGTACTACAAATTCGCTCTCCATCTGTCGCTTCGAAAAGCTTGCTTTACGTGCGTTTACCCGGGGACCCTGTGGCATCTTCGTCTGGTCTTGCTGGCGTTAGTGTTGTAATAAGCGCTAGAGCTGAGGCAGTACTAATCGATTGGGTCCCCATTAACAGTCGGTTATGTGCTGTTAGATTAGAGTTCCATCAAAGTGAGAAGAAATTAGCGTGAGAAACGATGTCTTTTCGTCATCTCCGACTATGCCCCGACATATTGCAACCCGGATGCAATCAAGGATGAATTCTACCACCAGTTATCTGTTCTTCTCCAGAAAGCGCGTTCGACAGATATTGTGGTACTAGCCGGAGACTTGAATGCTCAGGTCGGGCATCTAGGCACAGAAGAGAGTCGTTTAGGTGGCCGATGGAGACTTGTTGGTCGCAGGTCAGATAACGGGGACCGTCTACTGCAACTGTGCACAGACCACAACCTGTTTCTGGCTAGCACTAACTTTCGGCACAGTCATCGCCGATGTGCCACCTGGCGTCCTCCCTCTGCATCCCAAGCCTGGACTCAGATTGATCACATCGCGATCAGCTACCGCTGGCGTGGTTGTGTAAAAGACTCCCGCTACTTTTGGAGTACCTATCTGGACTCTGACCATGCCTTGGTCTGCGCCAATCTTGCCTTACTTTTCAGTGGACAACGAAGTGACCGCCATCAACGGATTGATATTAGCAAGCTGGTTGCAACTTCTGTTGCAAGTACGTATCGAACCGAGCATTGCATGACGCCATGAAAATGGCGGGAACAGTCAGTTGTGGGTTTGCGAAACGTCCCGCTTTTAAGCACTGGGTTACTTCACACTCCTTACAACTCATTGAAGCCCGTCGGCCTGCTCTAGGTGACCGTGAGTTTGACCATAAACGAAGGATGTTACGTAAGGAAATTGGGCAAAGCTTGCGTAAGGACCAAGAAGCCTGGTGGTCGAAGCGTGCTAATGAGCTGGAAGCAGCAGCTGCATCTGGTAACTACCGGAAGCTCTTCCAGCTCATCCGAGCCACTGGCAGCAAGAAGTCTGGTGTGAGTGAAACAATCTGAGAGGATGATGGGATGCCAATCACTAACATCCATCGACGTCTTGGACGATGGGCAGAATTTTTCGAAGGGCAGTTCAACTGGCCTGTTGCTCCGGCAACATCGGTCAGACTGTCCTGCCCTCCATCGCCGGTGACGACTGATCCACCAAACGAGGAGGAAGTCCGCAAGGAACTCCAACTCTTGAGGCGTTACAAATCACCTGGCCCAGATGACTTACCTCCGGCTCTTTTTAAAGATGGTGGTGACTTATTGACTAAGGAATTGACGACGTTGTTTACAAAGGTTTGGGAACTAGAGAGTGTACCAACGTCATGGAATGAGTCGATGGTCGTCCCTATCCTTAAAAAGGGTCCATATCGTTCCTGTAACAACTATCGGGGGATAAGTCTACTCCCGATTGCGTCCAAGCTATTAGCTTCCATCATACTTCGTAGGTTGTTCAAAACCCGAGAAAGATTGACTCGCGAGGAGCAGGCTGGTTTTCGTTCCGGCCGAGGATGTATTGATCATATCTTCACCCTCCGCCAAATGTTAGGACACCGTCATACTTACCAAAGGCCAACAATCGTAGTGTTTCTTGACATCACGGCTGCCTTCGATTAGTTGAAGAGGACTGTTCTCTAGGATTGTCTGTTGAAGGGTGTGCCTGAGAAGTTTATTAACATCCTAAAGGCCCTATATACAAACACCTCAGACAGAGTGAGGGCATACAACCACCTCTCTCCATTGTTCCTTTCAAGCAGTGGGGTTAGACAGGGTTGCTCAATCTCACTATTCCTCTTCAACTTTGCCATCGATGACATTCTGGAAACAGCTCTGATGGATGTAAGTAATGGTGGTGTGGATCTGTTGCCTGGAGAAAGACTTCTCGACCTTGAGTATGCGGACGATATTGTCTTGCTGTGCGATAATGCCCAAGGCATGCAATCCGCACTTAATCAGTTGGCAATCAGTGTCCGTAGGTATGGTATGTGCTTTGCACCTTCGAAGTGCAAAGTACTTCTACAAGACTGGCAGGATTCTAATCCTGTACTCACCCTGGATGGTGAGCAGATAGAAGTAGTCGAGAAGTTCGTGTATCTGGGTAGCTGCATAAGTGCTGGTGGGGGTGTGAGTGATGAGATCAATGCACGAATAGTGAAAGCCAGAGCGGCTTATTGCCAATCTGGGCCACCTTTGGCGCCTTCGTGATGTTAGTCTGGCTGTAACAGGTCGGATCTACAACGCGTCGGTGAGAGCAGTTTTGCTCTATGCTTGTGAAACCTGGCCTCTCCGAGTTGAGGACGTTAGACAACTCTCTGTTTGATCATCGTTGTCTCCGAAGGATTGCTGACATTCAGTGGCAACACCATGTTAGTAATACAGAGGTTCGGCATCGTGTGTTCGGGCACAGAGACGATAATGCAATTGGTGTCACCATCTTGAAACACCGACCTCAGTGGCTTGGACATGTTCTACGAATGTCGTCCCAGAGAATTCCAGGTCGTGCATTATCTGCCGACTCTGAGACTGGTTGGAAAAAGCGGAGAGGTGGTCAGTGTATGACATGGTGTCGCGGTATGAAAGCTGAAAAGGGCTGGCTTCTGTTGGTCCTTCACGACTCCCTGGTTGGGGTCATAGAGATAGTGCGACACAGTGGCTAGAGACGTTATCAGAAATGGCTCAGAATAGAAGCCAGTGGCGATCCTGCTGTATCGGCAGAAATCCCCAGGCCTAATAAACTCAAAACCATATATATAGTATAAACAAATATGGTAACTGTCGTTAAACGTTCATATCATTTGGGGTGCCAATAAAGAAATAGAGAGCGTTTGAATAGACATTTCGTCCTAATATATGGCTCATCAAAAGTGTGCACATACGATCCCCATCGGGACTGAACCTAGAACCTTCTGGTTTTGAAGAGGATGTTTAACCATTAGAACCAGCAGATTGGGGCCCATACGACAAATTACAACTTCGATCAATTCGTGATATGTGTTACCCCTTGGACTAAAATACAGCTTGTTCACACTATCCAATGAGCATAGAAACTAATAAGTCGTTCGATGTTTTTTTAATAATAAGCAATTAATATCACACACGTATACATGTTACAATAATTGTACATAATAATGAGTAAATCATACTTGACAGTTAAATAAATGAAGCTCAACTATTATTACTCTTCATATTTTCATTCAATCTAACGCAGACAAATATCTATAATGATAGTTGGAGTAAATAATGAATAAACAGAACACATATCTTACTTTGAACGTATTTTCGAACTAAGATTTGTAAGTGAACCACGTAATGATTTAGAATGGTGTACAGTATTAGCTTGAGTTCCTGGAGGCCAATAGTCAATAGCCCAAATCCAATAAACTAAACGTCCATGTGTATTAGAATTTTTTCGCTTCGCTTTTAAATCAGAATAACATAACCGTGATAAGTCGAAATTTGGATTGCCAGTTTGGGGAACTTGATTTAAGGGGATATCAACTTGACCGATATGATGATTATCTCCATCGACAACAAGTAAAGTAACTGGATCTGATGGACTAATCAAATCCCTATTTAAGAAAAGACAACACAAAAGCATGAAAAGAGATATTAACGTACAATAATACACCATTTACTACTTGTCTACAAATTCAGAACGACAATCTCATCATTAAAAATTGTACCTTGTTACATCCTTTGTAAATATATACCATACTTACAACTTACGTATATGCGAAATAACTGATTTCTGTGTAGCTTAAACTTGCTGAGATTTCATTCATTACGTTAATACACACTAGAATAACTATTTCATAAGACAATTTTGAAAAAACGGTAAACTGCTAAACAATCGTCATGTGACCTATGATCTCCGAGAATATAGTACTTAGCATCTTAAATTACCGGAATCTAACATTTTCAGGAGCCTACTGACGTAGCACTTACTTCACGTAACCTGCATAGGATCATGTTTTCAATATCTTGTCCAACAAAACATTCTCAGATTCTATAGCTTAGTCACAATAAACCTAGTATGGCACATTTAGCTACGGTATGATACAGAGTATGTAACATGTAACTAAGTGTTAAAAATCCCCTTGAAATCCCTCTTTTCAGGTTTTACTCACGAAAAGCACGTTACTTTCACATATAATGACGAAGAAAACTATAATGATCAGGACCGATTATATGTTTGGTCGCACATAAATTAGATGGACATGAGCCTACTTTTAGAATTGAAAGAAACGTCTTAAGTGAACGGCGTCGAAAAATGACTAGGCTAGTGAACTGAGGACCCTTAGCTTAGTTAGATCAGTTAAAACCAAAGAAGTAATAACAATGTTGAGTGCCTACTAAGTCGTTTATTTCAAAAAATATATATTTACCCTTACAGCAGTATGGACTCTGAATCAAATTACATTAAAATTCCAATGTTAAAGGATGAAAAATGAAAGTACTGTCCTAATAACAAAGAACAAGAAGTAGAGGATATCAATTTTTACACAAGCCAACTGACTAAACCGTCATTCATAAGTAAAATCAAGTCAGAAACAAACGTGTGTTAACCCAAGTTACCATATCACATTAGCACGAGATGAAATTAACAAGGTGAACAGTAAAAGAGTCGAAATCATGTACGTTTCCTCCTTTTAAATCAAGACCAGTGATACGAATTCTGTTGGACAATTATTTCACAGTTCTATGCCAAATGTAAAACTTATCGACTATCATTTCATAGTTTATATAACTTTGATTATTAAAGCAGTTGGGAAGTGAATTCTTTTTGAACATATACACACACAATTCAACATTTAACAGTCTAACAAATTTGTTGGGGATATCTTTGAAAAACTACTAAATTAATTAGATAAAGATTTTAAAAACGTGATTACATAAGAATTGTAATATTTATTACTTTAGAATTTCACTTACAATGTTACTTCACAATCCCATATTGGACGACCATCTTCTGCATCAACATACTCTGAGGCTAATTTAACCGCTCCACCCAAAAATATAACGCGCCATCGACGACTTTTAGAGGCTATTTTGAAGCAATATTACATTGGATAATAATAAGTGTATATTGTAAAACTGCAAAATTATTATCATACAATGCAAAGGTAAAATTTGATAATCAAAAATTGGCTCAAGAAATATTAATGATAATAACAATAAGCCTTTATTGTGATGATGACGACGATAATGACAGATGAAAAGTCAGATGATGTTGTTAAAGAATCACATGTAGGTTTAAATGCATAACATATGTATTACGATAAATGTTTTACGTCAACTTATTAGAAATGCAACAATCTTTTCAAACTAATAATCTCCTTGTTACCAACTGGTGATCATATAACCAGTAACTAGATATTTTTTCAAACTGTTACATTACTAGTAGGCTAATTATTTTTATAATGCGTTAACAACGTGAGTCATTAGCAATTCAGTGATAAAGCCCCCACTATTTGGGTTCTGGAGTATATCACAATAATATTTATTTTGTATTAGCTGTAAAACAGAGATCGGTACTTAAGGAGAAATTAGTCTGATTTATAATAATCTCAAACATAAATTAAAAGGAAGTACCTAAGGCTACCGTTCATTTATTTAAGCTGCCAAACTCCACATTAGCACAGTGATAGGAAACTAGCCATATAGAAAGCAGAACGGGGAATAATATAAAATATGAACAGGGGTAGAAAACTATAAAAACAAGAAGCCTAGTTTCAAAAGGGCAAATAAGGTTCGAAGAATGAGAAGTATGTGGTAATAATAATAGGCTTACGATTTAGGGGAAGTTAAATATTGAGTCCATCTGCGTCAATGTCACTGACTTTCGGTCATGGTGTAGTGAACGAGAACACAAGTGGGGACAACCAAATGTATTTAAATGCAAAATTACAGAATATCTTGGTAAAATCTGAGAATCATACAGTAAATATTTCATTTACAAAATGTCAATCAGTCGTCTCAGACTTCATTGTGCATTCGTTTCCACATCAATCATTCTCTGTTCTCGTTCTCTTTTATTCGATCTTTTTAACCTAGTGTCGTCAGGCATTTCACTTTCGATTGGTGATACATACTACTTATATCTGTCGACACCAGTAACACACCACAATGGTACCTAAGGTATCGAAGAATCCTTTATCTAGGATATTTTCTGCGCCTCTAGAATAAACATACAAAATCCAAATCGGATTACCGACTTGACTTTATACCTAATTGATGTGAAGATCCAAATCGATTCACATTTTAGAAATACTTGACAGCAAGCTCTAGTGATTTTAATGGTGTAAGCACAGTATTAAGGTTCAAAGTTAAGATAGCCACTTGTAAAAAGTATTCTGATAGACAGTCTATCTGGATCAACGAATGTATGATATATACATATCCAAAATTCATGATCATATTCGACTTATTTTATTCCGTTATTCTCTAACGCGAATTAGGTCAATAATTATATACGAGGGTTGATGATATGTATAGTTGGTTAACATCGGTCAATCAAATTGGAGTCATATCAGTGGGCCATAAAAGTGAGTACAAAATCACTAGGACTTAACACGAGCACTTGACTGTCTATAACATATTAACTGACAAGTGCGATACTACTTATCATTCTATACCAGACATATTACATATAGGAAGACAATATAGGCAACAGCTGCTTATCAGAAGTAATTATTCTAGAAACAATCGAGTATACAATTTAGGTTATTGGACTAAGGGATTTTAGTCATTGTGAATATAATGCTATTGTTCATGTGATATGTTTTTCCAAAATAATGAAAAAACTTTAAATAGCATTAAACGTCTTGAACTTTAAAACATAACATTGAAGTCGAGTCATATAAAAGAATATGCTAATTGATGAAATCTTAGTTTCAAATTATTTAATTATTACCAGCTCATTTGCCAAGTATAAGTCTATTACTCAAGTTTTCGATCACAACTAAACGATGCTACTCAGTTGTTCAAATAGAAGACTAAATGAGGTTTGAACCTGTCGTCTATTAATTCAAAGCTGAGTGTTTAAGCTAACAGGTTATCATTCATGCAAAACATTTGTCACCACAATCGATTCTTTAGTTACGTAGTAATAATTGTATTTTTTATCCGGTCAGACAAATGTATTCACTAACAACAAATCCAAACATACCTTTTTTAAGTGACGAAGTGTATTCCAAATTCTCCCCACGCTGTACTACAAAACAAAAATAAACAAGTTCACTGATTAACAAGAAGTGTGGAGTAATACATAAACACTAGTGAATTTACATCCAAGCTTTGAGTAGAAAAAGCCTAGAACCTAATTTATGAGAATAACCTGAAGTATACAGACAAAAACTGAATCTACTCCATGATTTTAATGGTTAGACCGTTATTCTGATCTCCATTCACTATGTAAATATAAGAAATAGGGGTATATGTGAGGGAGTCTTAGTATTCAGTGCCAAACGTCACTTACATTTCTCTTCTCCCTCGAGATGTTATAGGAAGATGTAAGTCGTAGACTAGTAAACCAACCTAAGTGAGTTTTATTCACCACTGAACAGAGATTGCAATTGTCCCAGTATAGAAAAGTATGGTTACAGTTTAATGTTTGAGTGGATAGTATCGCATTCTTATTGTTAGCGAAGGTGTTTGTGTCAATGGTTTAATCTCTTTTACATTGCCTTGTCTTGGATAGTATCACTAGTAGTCATATAAAAAAGTGACTTAAATTTGAGTATGAAAATTTGCATTTGGATACCGAGTCGAGAACCCCGTTGTTACGTCAACATTCAACCTTCATACCTAGTAAATTACGGTTACTGATTTTTGACAAAATACTAGATACTTTGCCACAATATTTCTTCAACTCATCATGTGTAAATTGATGTGCCCATTTCTGAATGGAAATGTTTGGGTGAGGGCAGGCGTTGTAACCATCTATTACGAACCACTTTCGTAGGTTTACCACCCAAACTATGGGCACAACAATAAAAATAAGTAAACACAACTTCAGAAACTGTCTAAAAATCATTCATGTTCATTCATCGGTAACATTTACCGGTAAGTGATGTAGAAAAAGTAAAATAATCCATCTTCATATTGGTTACAAGGCGAGTGCTGACACACAGCTAAAGTGTGACCAATGATTTTGTAGATAACTATTATCTTAATTGTCATGTTGACGTACAGTTAGAGACTAGCTCAAATAAGAATTACAAAATGTTTTTTGGAAAAAAATGAGTTATTGCGGTTCCAATGTTTGATCATTTGACTAATAAAACTTTATGCGAACTCCTGAATGAGGTGACTGATCAAACAAATCGTTAGTTACAGAATTTACTTCATTCAGTCAAACGAACAACTGATGGTATTTACACTGAGCAAATACTAGGAGGGAGAAAGACTAGCCACTACCAACTGATTATTGAATGGAAACGTGAACGTACAAAACGAGCTACACGATACTCGTAAAATTTGTTATCACGCACAAAATTAATGTTAAACAAAACGTAACTATGAATAAATGAATAAACCACTGATAATGCCTACAAGTAATAAGCTGAACTTCCAACTATGATGTCAATAAATTTTTCGAAATACTAGTTCAGAAATTTCTGAATGGTGACAAACTATATAAAATATAGTATTTTATCAGATAAATTTAATTATTTCCAATACCAATGCAGACTATAGAACAACAATGAAATTGTTCACTTTGGCAGCGAGGAAAATGAAATCATAAAGTTCACAGGCTATGAACAGGCAACCAACAGTATAAAACTTCACACGAACTCAAAAAATGTGATAATAGCTCCGTGTATCCAGACATCTTTCTATGATGGTTCGAAAAATATCACTGAATACAAAATGGTTTATGAAGAAACACTTCCAAGACAATCAGTTTAAAATACAATAACACGGTGGGTAACATAGTTTTATATTAAATTTGCAAAATTGCAAAAATGACCACACATTTAACACAGAGAATTGAATTACCGCGTGAAAATACCAGTTAAAAAGATTTGACAACAACAAGTAGAATGGACAATATTTAACAATTAGTAATTACCAATTATATTGACTTTTTTAGGAATATTCATCATCTTTGACAGCTAAACTAGTCCAGTAAAAAGTTGTGAGAGTCATCCTACGAAGTAGAAAAAAAGTGCTTATGAGATACAGCACAGCTCCAAAAAAAGAACAGAAAACTGTCAAAAAAAATTCAGTTTCAATTTAGGTACTCTCGCAAAAAGGAACTCTATAATGTATATATGATCAAAAAAGACATCTTGTAAGACCTAAAATTCGCTTGTCTTATTTATTTATTTAAAAGCCAACAGCGATGAAATATCAAATATGTGAATTTAAACAGAGGAAATAAATCACTGAACATGTTGAGAAACATTGAGATAACTGAGACACATATCATATACAATAAATTGATGCCTAGAAGGATGCCCTATGTTAACTGAAAAAAAATGAACTTTTCGTTCTCTCATCATTTGTTCACTACAATTAATATTGATTCTACTCCATATTTTATCATGTTGATTTTCTCTATTGATGTGTTATGTGGTGTATCAAACTGGATCAAAGCATACTAGTGTCAGTTCCAACGATGTCCATGATTGGTTTTTCGACCCTTACAAAATGTTAGATGAATGTACCAAGTTATTCCTTCAATTTATTAAATGTTTGCCAGACCTATATGAAATGCTATCAACTCACTGGCTAGAGTTTAGTGATGTTAAAAAAAACTAGGGTGTCTACATCAACCCTTATTTTGAATAAAAAACAACTAATTGACCGATCAACTCGCCACAATTCCCCTAATGGTTTTTTCTAGCTTTAGTAACACTGTTTACTTTTTTGATAACGTCATTTTAGAATGTATCAACTTGAACGAATACAATCTAGCATGAGCTACCGTATTCTTTCGAAATCAATTTAGGGGCGAAAGAACCAAAAACTGACAAGCGTAACGCAGAAAGATGAACTTTACGTGTGACAGATGTTATTTTAAGACTAATCTTGATGCAGTACAGTTACCCGATGCAAATTCGTGGGTTTAACTTTGAGCATCATCAAGACACCTAATAAGTGATTGTACCGAGATTATCAGCTATTAAATTTGACAACGACCGGTGTGCAATTAATACCATTACTACGAGAAGATCAACGCAAAATAGGACGAAGATCTGAGAAATAAAAATTTGGAAGACATCTGGAAGTTTCCCAAAACTGGAGTATTTCAGTAGGGAAAACGTTAAAACATTTTCCAGTTTTATGCAGACAGCGATCACGAGGATATAAAATGAAATTGGCTTTTATTATTGTAGTATCATCGGGATACAGAAAAAAGTCACTTCTAGTCTATAAAAAACGTCAAGTAGATGGGATCAATAGAAAGAAATATATTGAGCAAATAAGTCGGAATCCGTGATAATTATAAGTTGGATAACGATAAAATAAAAATCCATAAGTGACCAATTGGAGATACAAAAAGTAAGTTTAGCCACAATTCAATTAACTATCCATGATACAAACTGAGAACAAACCATCGCAACGCCAGAGCTTAAAATGACCGCTACCACAATCCGGTATCCAATTCCTCGGCCACGGACTTACATAAACCAATTGATTTACTCTCTTAGGATGCTCCATATTGGAGAGTCGCGGTGTGCTTGGAATGTTCTGTACCATTATCAGGTCACTTTTTCTCACACAGCCCAAAGAGGATAATCTGAAGTGTTGGAGTCTTTAACTCTGCCTGTAGCTCTTCAAGAATTACTACCGGTCCCAAGCCAGGGTTCGGGGGGTAAAAAGGAATTCCGCAACCCCATCCCGTAGAAAAAATCTTTCTAAAAAACGCCAACCAGATCAAACAAATCAGATCATTTAAACTCTGCTTTTAGAGTTTAAGAAAGAATTATGACGCCTCAGGCTAAAAGATGAGATTCTCCACAAATCATCAGGCCGATGCCCTTTCTAAAAACCGGAGCAAAAATTTTTATGGGTGCATGAAACGTCCGCACAATGTGAAAGACCGATAGGACCAACCCAGGTGCTACAAAAATTAGGAGATACAACTAATTCCCGAAATCAGTGGAACACGTTGGACCGAAGCTCGATAGAAAAAGATAGATCCAGAAGGGATACTTCTGTATTTCTATCACGAAGAGAATAATGCTCCACACACTCAGGGAGTTGCTCTGATGCTGACCAAAGAAGCATGGAATGCACTTGTAGGATGACAATCTCACGGATCCAGAATCATCAAAGCATCATTCAAAACAAAGAAGAAGGAGATCACAATGAATGTTATCCAGTGTTATGCATCCACTGATGATAGCATTGACGATGGCAAAGATCGGTCCTATGAGAGGCGAAAATTTATTATAGCGAAGTGCTCAGGAAAGAACACCACGATTCTGATAGGAGATCTTAACGCCAAAGTCGGGATAGACAACACCGGATATGAAGATATTGTGGGACTATACGGACCTGGAGAGATAAACGAAAATGGTGAGAGATTTGCAAACCTATACGCATTCAACAAATGGGTGAAGACGGCACAATATTTCCGTACAGACGTATACGTTTTACTCCTGAGACATATCACCCACCCGACTGCCCGTCCATGTGCGTGATCTAAGAGATTTATGTCTCTTTTGAAGAGCGGAAGTGCGAAAATATTGCAGACTTCAAGGTGGAGCTGTATGTTACAAGATGTTAGGAACAACTCTGAAATAATTGTGCTTAGTCATTTTCTCATAAAGAGGGGGGTTCCGTTTCTTTATCTGCATTCCCTGTGTTTTCTGAGCTGGTGTCTAAGCTTTCTGTAACTACAAGCTAGAGGCCGCTTACTGAGGAGACAATCGGGAGCAAATTTCCATGGAGGCCATAAATGCTTTGTGTCCGATGAGTTAGAATGTTCATGATATAACATCCAGACAGGTTAAGTTCTAATCTATTGTCCATTGCTCATTCCTCAATTGTTGTAAGGCCCTTTTGAAGCTCAAGTGAATCCAATTCGCCTTTTATGAACGTTCAGATATTTACATAGTTTGCATAGAGCATTTTTCGTCGATCTAACCTTATCTAACAGACCATCTTAAAAGATCAGAGAAATAAGTGGATCTAAGACTGTCACTGTCAAAATCCTGATGCCAGGGTTCCCATAGAACCTATCCAGTAGGTTGTTCTGGAACCAACGTAAAACTGGAACAGTAAAATTCATCTTCGCAACCTTCACCAGGTGGAGAAAGTGAGGAAGGCTTTCGGAAAGTCAAGTAGTATTATGTAGACCTGTATATTTTAGTGCCAGTAGGCCGTCCAGCCGTCCCATGCTATAATCAGGTTGAACGCACAGAATCTGTCTTTCTTAAACCTATGCTGGTCTCCGTTGGAAATGTTGTTTCTGTCCACGTATTCGTCATTTGTTCGTTGATCATTTCTTCCATTACCTTCGACAGCTTTGGGATTAATATCATCGGTCTGCAACAGGCTGGATCTTTTATATCTCAACCTTCAATATTAGTGAGAGTAGTCTGTTTCCAATCACCTGACAGTTGGTGTGACAGAGGCGAGTGGCTGAGCAGGTCACATAGCAGTGTGCCAATGGGTCCCACAGACTGTTCCACGATCATACGGAGGACGTTGTCACAGTCTGGTAAACTTCCCGGTCTCTTTAGTGCTAAAATGGGATACTTTGACCAGGCAATCGAATGACACTAGAGTTGAGGAGTGTTCTGCACTTGTAATCCACCAGTTTAGTTAGTTGGGGAAGTTGGTTAAGTCACTGTTTGGTTAATAGCAAAGGTCTCCTGGTTTGTAGGTCTTAGAAATCTGTGAAGACATTAAGGGTTAGATTGTATTTTGGCTGCTAGCTTGGCCTAAAAAAATGATACTGTTTCAAATCTTGATGTAGTGCTTGTTCCACAGTGTCATGTGATAGCTACGTTCAGAATCCATTAGGGGGACTTTCCATTTGTACCAGGCCGTTTTTTAGATTACAGCCGGCGTTTTGTGTTCCGCTTAACACATTATCTTCTCCTTTCAAGAGTGTATTTGCTCAAGGTACGTTGCTCGTGATAGCTTCATGAGTGATATACTTCATTGCCTTCCGGTAGTCATTCACTTTTAAATAACCAATCTTGTGGCCATACGGACAGTGTAGGCTGCCCCGGAATAGCTGTACAGTCTGTCCCGGTGGATGAAAAGTAGAGACCATCCCCGTTCATTTGAATTTCTTCATTTCAGATCACGTCAATCATGACTATGCGGTGCCACTATTCCTTATTTGATTACGACACGGACGTCTCCTATAAGAAGCTGATCTTTTGTTAATAAATAGTCTAATTTAGAGTTGTTTTCCCTCTTCCCTATCTCATAGCGTCACCTTGTTCACTTAATCTGATACTTTTAGGGCGTATGACAAGCTGAGAACAAAATCTCAGTGTATTATACTCTGCTTTCTGAGACTTAGGAACGGAGTGTCGAGTTCTCCAATTAGCATCATTTGGTTAAACCCTGTGTTCGTTAGGTCTAGTGCCACCTGCATTCTCACATCCCTTTAAGCCTTAATGCCTGATGGAGGACCGATATGTTCCTTCAGTGAAATATATTGTGCCATCTTCATTGAAGCAACACCGTCATGATTCCGTTGTAGTGGTATTGATTCCCAACCACATGATCTTTGAAACCGAGCGTTTATTTCTGTGGAGAGTTACATTCTGCATGTAACACTAAGAAAAGGCCAACAGTGGTGGACGCGGCAAAAATCAGCCGAAATGGTGTGTCTCGGCTATGACACATCAATAATTTTGGGATCAGGTCTATTATTATAGTAGCAAGGATAAATGTACTAATATAGACTTGGCCATAATTCTACACTGTCACCTAGGTTGATTTTGCACTTCGAGTTGTTACAGGCTTCAAGTTGCTGTTAATGCATACTGTCACTCCACCTCTTGTTTCGTGCAACCTGCCGCGTTGAAAAAGTGCCATGCATTGCAAGTTCTTTCCGTCATCCGTGAAGTTGGGTGACAGCCATATCTCGGCTAGGACATTGATCTTCAGGTCCAAGTGAAAAGGCATAATTCTTATTTATCCTAGTTTATTCACTGATCGTCTAAAGTTGCTATGGAGGTACTCGTTGATTCGTCTCATCACCTCTAAACCTTCTCTAGTAGCATCTGTCCCATGGTTTCTAAGTAGACTGTTATACAAAGTGAGATGCCCAGTTCTATGGGAACAGGAAGCTGTAGACATTTTGCTAGTATAATGTATCTCCTCAGCTGAATAGATGTACCTGTGTCCTTTACTGTGATTTGTTGATCACGGCCATCCGACATCAAGGTGCATTTTCTTCGTTCTTTCTAATGTTTCCATACCGGCACAGGTTGCCCCCTACAATATTTGGTGCGATCAGAGAGGTTATACTTCGAGTTGTACCTCGCTTGAGGGGCCTCATTTAGGCCACTATCGTTGATGCGTATCTTATCCGTGAGTTTCGTTCTGACTACCATCTACTAGCTCAGGAAATCCGTTAACTACTGTGCCGTTTCGCTCTTGGGTGTTTGCTGACCATTTAGTGCTATCTCTTACAGCCCATGGTTTGTCCTGTTTAACTCGGATTTGAGAGGATTGCCTGACCCATTATTTCCTGGATGTTAGTAAAATTCCTCGAGTAATGTGTACTGAATCCAAAGTTACCTGTAATGGAGGGCGTTTATATTTCGTTGTTTTTCGGTCCTCATACAGGCGGTATAGCTTGGTTGAAGTGGCACTTTTACACATCATTGTACAGTATTTGCACTACTTTTCTTATTAGAGGATGGCCTTGTTTCTAATAATATACTTTTCAACAATAGAACATCAAATAGAATCATAGAGCTTTGCCCAAAACCCTTGTCCCCGATTTATAGCGTTTTGAGAGCTGTGATATTACTGTTTTTCCTAATAACGCCCACCAACTGCTCCTTGCTGCGTATAGATACTGAGGTATTTGAAACAGTCGGTAACTTCATTGGTGAATGAGCATTGGTTGTGGCTCCCAGTCTCATGATTGGCTGAGTCTGTGTTGGACGACTTGGATATACTCGTGAGGATTAATACTGTTGTTTTCACTACGATTTTGGGCTTTACTTCTGTGAGCCTTTAGAATTACGGTCTACTATGATATTAGTACTGCTCCAATAATAGACCTAATCCCAAAATTGTAGATGTCATGATATAACTGCCTAATCTATAAGATCTTACGTGGAAGTCACACCATCAACTACACCAACTCACTGTATCGTAACAACTACCAATACATGATGGAGAACAAGGTTAGGCTAGAGAAAGAACAATATATTTAATATGAATAAAAGATATAAGGTAATATACAGTAGGGACCACGCCCGCATGCCCGAGCCATGCCATTTGATTAACTCCAATTCATTCCATTCCTTGTTCCCGCCTTTTTATTCGTTAGGTATTTCTCCGCATTAAATATTTAATATCTATTTTCCGTAAGCTGAATACCCTGTCGAATTTACCCCAACGGAGATCCATACCCTTATCATAGACATAGGTTGACAGC